GTAAAACAATGGCAGTTCCCCATTTTCTCTTTGCTACTCTTCAACATCGGAAAAACAAGAGAACATGCCATTCAAGTATGATAGATGTGTACTTAATAATAAAAAATGATCAAGAAAACAAGCTTCTTATGTAAAGTCGCCCTCATCTACAGGAAGAGCAATGATTGACAAGTTTAAAAGAACCGAAACTGTGAAAAACGAGGCTGGAAAAGCACCCAGATATATCTGGCTACCAAGCACAGTGTGGACGATGCTATGGGAGTTAAAAAATATCCAAAGCTCACAGTAGGAGAACCAAAACATGTTTTTTATGGATTTTGTGTACATCTTAACCAGGAGGTGCCAATAGTTGTAGAAATCTCTGACTCAGTCTAGGTAGAATCCAGCTGAATGTTACAGATATCCTTTATTTACATTCACATAAGCTAGTTGTGTTGATCACCGTTTTCCTCATTTAACTGTAGCATGCACTGTCACTTATTTGATGAAACAATAAGTGAAACATTAAATTATCGTTTTGAAAGCTAAACTGTCACACAATCTCTCATCTACTGGCTTGTTTTGTTCGAAGAGGTGAAAAGGATATGGGATGGAGACACTCATTACCAAACGTCTCGGCTGTATTCTACCGCCTCCAGCTCCAGGTATTGCTGGTGTACGCAGACGTGTACGTTGGCCTCTCAGATGAAGACACAGAGTGTCTCTGGTACTTCTGAGGCTGCCACTGCCTTGGCAGTGACCTGAAACCTTGCAGGCCAACCGGGCTGGAGGCAGGGCTCCTCGACGGAGACACGAACGATGGAATCGGAGCTCGGCCCTGATTGTGGCTTTGGCTCCAAGTCTGGCTGCCTGGTTTCGGTTGGGTCGTGTAACTGACTCTTCCTTTCCACTCTGCAGGTGGCTCAGGTAGGATTTTACGCCGGGCAGCAAAGTGGACATTGGAGGCAAGAGCCTGCTGCAGGTCTTGAAAAGCAAAGGCTTCGTCTACCAGGCCCAGGGGATGGCGGGAGGCGGCTTCCCAGGGGGTGAGGGGTTTGAAGCCTTTGTCCAAATGGGATGTCTGCCTCACCGGGGGGTTGGTGAAGGCTCGGGTTGGAGGCTTGGGAGAGGAAGAAGCAGACGCCGATTTCTGGCCTGTGAATGGCACCCTGGCTGGTGGAGAAAGGGTGTAGCCCCTGCCAGTTGCCTGGAGAGAGGGATTCATAGAGGCTTATTTTAGTAAAGGCATTTTTTTTATAGGGCTTGGCTGCAAACTGACTCAGAAAACATTAGCAACGAAGCAGGTCCTTATTAAAATGTTTCTCATAAGGGTTGTATTTCATGATCAGAAATAATAAACTAAAAGCACTTGTAGGCTACAATAACCCTTTTTATCATAACGGAATAGGCTAACCTTATGTCTCAAGCAGCTAAAGATCAGGCCCTCTTTACACTGCATTTAATCAACTTGTTTTGCTAGACTTCATAATTGTGGCACTCCACTGATTAATGCTACTGTCTGCCCTTTAATTAATATGCATCAAAGGGATGCATATCATCTCAGACCACCCTTCACCACAGTGAAGGGTGGTCTGAGATGAATAGGCTCCTCATAGGCTCCTTGATTACAGTAGTCTGTGAAAACGTGAACCAAACAAACGGTGGGTGCTGCCATCTTCTGGTGAGTCTTGTGTACTGTCAGAAGCACAGCCCATATTTGGGAAAGTTCAAGAACAAGGGAAAAGCAAAATATGTGAAAGTACGAAAAAAAAAAGAAAAAGAAAAACACCTCTGATGAAACCAAACCAAATATTTCATCAAGCAGACAGAAAAGGTTGATGAAGAGTTAAAAAGGCGATGAAAGTCAAGCCTAAGAAATAGCAAAGATATTGCAACAGACCCTGAGAAATGCATTATCCTTCAGTCAAAATCAGCCTTGGCTTTATGTCAAAATCTAGTCGTCAAGTTGCGGTGTTCTGCATCCTTTAGGCATGTCTCTGCATCAACACACTTGATTCACATAATTATGTCATCAACTGAACTTTGGAAGGTTTGAATTCATGAGTTGATTCAGTCATTCGATTCAGATGTATTGGACTTAAAACACATTAAAAAGTTGCAGGACACGAGCCCTTTAGGAATGGATTTTGACATCCGTGATCTAATGTACGAGAAGTTTCAGCCTATAGCTCTTTGAACGTCACCTCGCTGGTTATAGGATATTGAACGTCTCTTATTTTGAAGAGCAGTAAATGTCTTTGCAGTGATGACAGTTGAACAGCAAGAGAGTAAGATGTCAGAGGTCTGTTTTTTTACTCAAAAATGATCCAAGGTAAGTTAATGCAGAGTTTAATTCGAGAGATTTCTGTGTGGTTATTATGATGCTACAGTGAACATTAATACATTTTTGCAAAGTCATGTAGAGCCTTGTTAGATTCTTACTGGTTGAGGTAAAAGAGGTTCAATAGACTCCAGGCTTAAGACTTAAGAGCACGAGTCCAAGTCAAGTCTAGGGTCTTTGTTTTGAGCATTCTGATGAGACATGTTCAAATTTAAAGGTTGAGTCCACATCTCCAATATGTTGAACTCTCAACTCAAGAGGTTGGAACAAACTATATCTTTGTAACAGACTACTTTTAACAACAAACGCCTACAATTATGTTTACTTAGTTATTTGCTATGTGATGAAAACACAGGCTTTATGGATCTTTGAATCATTTTATGCCTAATGATTCATAGCTTAAGGTTATGAGGTTTGGAAAACAATGGCAAGTAAGTGAAAACATTAGAAAATGAAGCCAGAGTTAGAAGAAAAACTCTCAAAAAACTGTCAGAAAGCCTGGAAACTCTCAATCCAGACAAAGGAGCCTGCCTAAATATGTATATCCTTTGAATCATATGTGATTGCACATAATTGTGAAGTGAAAGGGAAATTACGCGATTTTAAAATTTGTTTGCAAAAAGACAAACATTGTTGTTGACTCCAAACTTTTCAGATTTTGTTTATAAAGGAAATATGAAAAGACTGCACCACTTTCCATCTATTTCACAATTGCACTACATGGCTTTATGATACTCTGACACATCATATTCCAATATGGTACATTAAAGTTATGGGTTGTAGTGAAACAAAAATGTGCAAAAGTTCAAGGGACATAAATTCTTTTGAAAATGAAATTATAAGAAATTCTGGCTCCTTGGACGAAGAATATTAAAAAAATAGTACATAATTTAAAAGTTTTGCAGAGTGCATCATCTTTTTTCACGTGACTGTGAAAAGATGACGTACTGTTATTCTACACTAGCAATTGAGTGTATTAATAACTGCCTAGTGACTCTATATCTGGGTTTGCATCTCCCTGTCTGGGTAATATTAACATAGTGGATTTTGGAAATGTGTAAGAGATTAAAACGTGATGTACAAGAGAGTTTTCAAACAAAAAAAAACCCATCAATTCCAAACTTAAATTCCTAAAATGTTCTTTTCTTTGTTCTTTCTTGCATGGACACTTTAAGATCAAAATGAAGAGACATGTGATGTAAAAGTCCTAAAAAAGAAATAGCTCATCTTTTGAAAAATGCATGACACACTTGACCTCCTCTCGTAATGAGACCATACTGAAATCAACTATTAATTCCCTTCATAAATGCATCATCAGGTTGTCATTTTACAGGAATGTGCTTCTCAAGCACAAACTTGCATAAGTTTTACAAAACCAGCTTGTTGTCAGAAGTATCTGACAAAGTCTTTTTTAGGATATTGCCAGCGTAAAATCAAGATATAGCACTATTCATTGCTTTTTATAGCATAAGTGGAAAAAATGATCAGAAAAAAAAGTTGGGAATAGAAAGTAAAACAGAAAGAATACCCAAAGGAGTAGAAAAGGGAAACGAAACACGAAAAAGAGACAGTTTAATGGCACTGCAGTGAATCATACATAAAGTGCACAATGAAGAGAGAGAAAAAAAAAAAACAAGAGAAGAAGCCCTGTAACAAATATACATCTAACTCAGTTTTACTCATAGACTTACACCATTATTAATTCCATTTTGAAAATGAATTCTCATGCAACCACATTATATTGTTGAAAAGATAAAGATGCACCAACGCAGACATGTGAAAGTTTGAATGATAGTAGCTTTCAGTTGCCTGAGCTGAAATCTAAGCCTACAATAGTATGTGGACCTCAGAACTGGACTTCTCTTAAGGCACTTTAAATATAGCATCTAACATGACGCAACAGCTGGTAAGGAGTTTAAAATAACACCATTCTGCCTAAGAAGGAGACATGGAAAGAAAAAAAAAAGAAAAAAAACATAAAATAAAAATACAGAAACACAACCTCCCCACCCCCGAATTAATAATCTTTTTAAGTTATTTTAAGCAATCTTTTTTTAATTATCACAAATAGTTTTTGTGTCTAACAGCTTAACTCGACCTACATAAGTAAAGTTGCTTGCCGATGTCATTACTTGACTTTATTGATGATACAACCATACCTTTCTCCCGCTGCACCATTCCTTCAACGGCTTAATTTTACCATTTTTTTTTTACATTTGATTTTCTTTTAAAACACTTTTATGAGTTTACTATATAAAGTTCAGCAATATCATATTGCTGAACTTCTAACTTAAACCTTTCTCTCAGTCCATACACCATTCACTTCTGACCCCTCCTTCTTGCTTGCTTCCTATTCTGACCAAAATACTCCCCTACATTCCTAACATCATCACGTTAGATTGGCACAAAACTGCATTTGTTTAGCATAAAATACATCAACCTTTGTTGACCCTCTTGTGGGTAACCTAAAGGTCTTAAATGTGCTACTGAACTAATTGAAGTAAGTGCTTTGTTCTACAACAGAAAGCCAACAGGGCGGAGACATTGACTGCTTGAACAAGTTTATACAATGTGCTTTAAGTCTTCCACTGGCCAGTGTATTGTAAGTGCACTGTTTTGACACAACAAGGCAATGAACCTGCCATTTGCCTATGAGAATCACTCTTTTTCAACCAATGTTGGCTTCCACACCTGCGCTGAGCTCTTGTTAGCAGTAAATTTAGGCTTGGGGGCAGCTCCAGTACCACCACCAGTTACAGACTCAGGCCTAGCAGCCACAGGTAAACTCGGGGCTATGTAGTTATTAGTAGGCGGTGCTTTGTAAGGTACTGAGGGAGTTGCCAGATAGGGAGGGCTGCTGGCTGGCTGGTAAGCAGCCTGTTGGTAGGGTTGGTTTAAAGACTGAGGGGCTTGGGGATAATAACTTGGTGGAACAGCCTGCAGATACTGCTGGTTATATTCTTGTTGGTATGGACTACCCGGAGATGGCTGATAAGGATAAACATTACCTTGGGCTTGCTGATGGTGGGGATCATGCATTACAGGCTGCATGGGTATCCCATAGCCTTGTTGGGGATATGGAGGAGTAAATGGTCCAGCTTGTTGAGCTGGAGCCATTTGCTCATATCTAATTGTTTGGCTGTCAAGAAGTGAGTGAGGAGATGAGCTGGGCTTTGGTACAGGAGGCTTAGCAGCCTCTGCTCCTGTACCAAAGATAAAGAGTGAAGAATCTAGTTTATATGGTTGATGCTTCATGACGTCAATAACATTCAGTGGTTTAGGGGCAGGTGCTCGTTTCTCCTGGTCTTTTTTCTTTGCTTTGATTGAAGGACTACTTGCAGGGGGCTGTTTTGTTGCTGCTGGGGGATAAAAAGGAGATTGAATAGGATTGTAAGCCCTGGGAGGCGGAGCACGTACATTGGGTGTATACTTCCATTCATTTGGTAAGGATGCAGCTGGCGATGTTGAACGACTTGCTTTGTTGGCTTCCACAGTCTCAGAGTCCACAACAAACTTCTCCATGCGAGACTGCCTCTTAGCAAACATGTCAGCTCCTTTTCCTTTGACCACTGGCATCTCAAAAGCTGGACCCGGGGACAATTTAGGATTTAAGACGGTGGCCATTGGGTTGACTGGCGATGCAGCTTTTTGACCAACAGTATAAGAGAACATTCGTCGTGGTGGAGGAGGAGGAGTCTGGTTTTGTGGTGGATGCCATGGTTTAGGAGAAGGTTGGGTGTTTACTGTAGACAATGGAACATTCAAAGATGATTGCTGTAGCTGTGGTCTCCAGTCATTAACTGGTGTTGGAGGCTGGGCTTGAGCTGATGGCCATGTATTGGGTTGTGGTTGTTGAGATGTATTTGAAAGGGACTGTTGCCAGTTGGACTGGGGTGTGGGCGGTGAAGGAACTGATTGAACCCAGGGTGGCTGATGTTGGGCCTGACTTTGGTCCTGAGCCCATGAATTTATAGGTTGCTCACCACCATGTTCTGGAGTTTGTGGAGCCCATGATGTCTGAGATGGAGTATGTGCAGGAACTGGTGCCCATGGATTCAGATTAACTTGAGCCTGTGCTTGAGGTTGTACTTGAGCTGCATTCATCCATGGTGGCTGAGTTTGGGCTTGTGTTTGCGATTGTGCCCATGGATTGGCAGGAGGTTGCGGTTGAGGTTGAGTTGAGACCCAGGGTGGTTGAGGTTGACCTGGAACTTGGGCATTTGCCCATGCTTGAGGGAATGCCTGATGATGTTGCTGTTGTCCCCAAGATGGTTGTGGTTGTGTTTCTGGTTGAACTTGTTGAACCCAAGGGGGTTGTGGTTGTATTTCTGGCTGAACCTGTTGAACCCATGGTGGTTGTACTTGAGGTTTTTGCTGAGGTTGTTGAACCCATGGCAGCTGCTGTTGAGAATCTGTATGGGGGGCCTGCATCCATTGATTCTGGGGTTGTGTCTGTACTGGTTCTTGGGCTTGACTCCAGGATGCCTGTTTTTGCTGCAAGTGTTGCTTCTCCTTCATGAGTGTCCATGGTGGCTGAACCTGCGGATGGGACTGAAGCTGCTCTTGAGGTTGGGCCCAGGATGGTTGAGCATTTGTCTGAGGTTGTGCTTGCTCTTCATGCGGAGTCCAGGATGGTTGCCCCTGAGGCGTCCAAGTATTTGAGCTTAGTTGAATCTGCGTTTGGCTTTGAGGAGACTGACGTGTTACCCATGGTGGCTGTGGTGGGGACTGACTTGGAGGAGGGTTCTGAGGTTGCACTTTGGCTGATTGCCATGAACAAGCAGCTGACTGTTGATGTGCTTGTACCTGTACTGAACCCCAGGTGGCCATTTGAGAGGACTCACAATGCTGAGCAGAAATCACCTGGCCATGTGTCTCTTGAGATGTCACTTGTGCAGGCTGCTGTTGAGACTCTGGATCAGGGAGAGTCCATGAATGCTGCTCGGCTGGGGTGGGATTGGCAGTGGTTTCCTCAGGGGAAGGAAGGGTAGAGGGCTCAGGGGCAGGTGCAGGAGCTGGCTCTAGTTCTGGAGCAGGGGCAGTTTCTGTGGTGGGGGCTGCAGCAGGTGTGGACAGACTATTTTCAGCACACTGAGGCATGTCCTGGTTGGCTGCTTCTATCTGAGCAGACCAAGGAGGAGAGTTGGGGTTGATCAAAGGCTTTGGCGCAACTGGTGGAGGAATCTTAGGTTTAAGTCTTTGGGACTGGAGGAAATTGCAAGCTTCCGCCCCAAGGCTAAGATAGTCTTCTTCAGGACCAGACTCAAAACCTTTTTTGTCACTTCTATTGAGAAGGTTCAGCAATGCAGGGTTAGGTGATACTTTTGGGGCTTCTTTAAAAGTAAACATAGGCTTGCCGGTATTCTTTCTCCTAGAGTCCGACAGCAGGCCTGTCCTAATTGCAGGAGTAGAAATGCGCTCATCACGGGAAGCTATCTGCTCTCCTTGGCCAACAGAATCTTGACTGGTCCCACTTGCTCCATGAGAATAAGGTGTTGCCACCATGTTTTCTGTTGTGAAAGGCTTTGCAGTACGATTGTTGAAAGAACTCTGAATTTCATTAGTTTGATGCTGGATTGTGCCATTGATATTTGTAGAATACTGCTGCATTTGCTGGTGCTCTTGATGATATTGTTGCTGCTGCTGATAGAGTTGCTGTTGCTTGTATTGTTGCTCATACTGCTGCTGATATTGTTGATACTGTTGCTGCTGTTGGTAGTTTTGTTGTTGCTCATAATACTGTTGCTCCTGATACTGCTGGTACTGCTGTTGGTTTTGTTGGTGCATATTCACATCCAAGTAACCATGACCCTCTGTTGCGGACTGGATATAGGACTGCCCCGTTACTTTCTTCTCCAACTCTTGCACTGCTTCCACGGGTAGTCCTTGACGCCGGAGTTCCTCATGTTCAGCCGTAATCTCATCCATCCTCTGACGCCTTTGAGCAAACATCGCTGCACCCTTGCCTTTGGTTTCAGGCAAACATTCCATCTCAGCTTGGTTGTTCAAGTTGTTGTTAATTTCAACAAGACTCTTCCCTAACTTAAAAGTTAGCACACCTTTACTACCTGGAACATTCAAAAGAAAAGGCCTGTTTGATTCACAATCGATAGCAGCTTCAAAGCTAATTTCACCAGGTGGGATTTCTTGCTTATCGTCGTCGTTCACGTCGTCTTCTTCGTCACTGAAGTCTGGTTCGTCCTCTCCCGTGCCGTAGCTTACAAGCGTGTATTTCTTGGCCCTCTGACGATGTTTCTTGAACATCAACACCCCCTTATTGTTGGGGTTTGAAGGAGCGGCCGACAGAAGGAGAGCTATACGTTTACATTTGGATTTGGCCTCCTTCACCTGTTTCTCTGACAGACTCTCGTTACGTCTGAGCCCTGTGTAGAAAATAAAAAAAGCAGACCTGTGTTCAGAAAAGGTTCAGCAAAAAGGACAATTACATTGCCAAATTAAATATAAAGATTTGTCTTTTGAGTAGATTAAATCGCAGTATAAAGCTATTAATCACTTACAAGAAATATAACCCCCCCCCCCAAAGTGGAGCAAAAAAAAAAAAAAAAATCAGAGATTACATAAAAAGTCTTACATAGAAAATGTTGCCAAAAGTGTTTTGGGAACGTAGCAAACCTAAATCCAGGCAGGGACACAAAATATTACTTTTATTGTGCAATCATCTGGAACCTCCATAGTACATGGAAAGCTAAGAAAACAATTATTAAAAACTGGGACACAGGAGAGAGTAATTTAAGCGATAGCATGACAAAGTGCAACATGAGCTTGGAAGCACAAGCAGCGCTCCAGAGAAGACTTCAAATTATGGGACAAGGTTTATATTTTAAAAATTGAAAGTGTTTTCTTACAATATGATTGAACTTATTTAAACATGCAATGAACTATAAAATAAGCTAACTTTTTCATTTGGATGATCATGGCTTATATTCTTATTTCAGACAAAATTATCTGCTTGTGATAAGAAAATATTAATATATGAAAAAAACAGTAACATTTCCTGACCCATATTTAATGTTTTTATTGGTTCACTCACTAATCATTCAACCCCATACATCAAATTAACCATTCGGACAAACAAGCCAAAAATATGAACCACAAAAATAACTTGCATGCAGTAAATTTAAGTCTGATCATCCTTAGAAGTAGCTACTTGTAACTTTAAAGTAGCTCCTTTTTTGTTTAGTCTTCTGACACTTGTTCAAACAACTTACACCATATGACCAATGCAACAACTGACAGTGAAAAGTTATTCCTACAAAATAAATCAAACAGTCTTACTTCTTAATGCTCACGCAGGAGAAACCAGAGGGTGGAGAAGACAACGAGAGTGAACGACACCCGCACTTTTTCAGCCCTGTTAAAGCACCCAGTTTGAAAAGATCAGGTAACAGATGAAGGGGACACATGCTGGTGTCTGTCAAAGAGCCACTTCTGCAGGCATCATCAGTGTGCTCTTGTGATATTTCTGTCTTTTACACAGCTCAGAAGAGCTCCTCACTATATGTATTTTGCCCTCATAAAGTTTATGAAAAAGTTACCGGAGTTACATGTAATCTTTTTTTTTTTTCATTTATGAAAGTTTAACAGTTTATGTTATGCTTCTTAAAAATATCCTTTCTGCTTTTGTCGTATCTGCTTTAATTGAAAGGAATGAGCTCCCTCCTCCGTGAGCAGTAAAAGACATCCTATTTTAAGGCTTACACACAGCGCATCAGTCTATGGAACGCACACATGTTAACAAACACAGTTTAGTGATGTAATACTTCCTGGTATAAAAAGAAAAGAGTTTCTTCAAAGTTACTTACTTGCGTGCTTTGCCCGATGCTTGTTGGGTTTTTCTTGATCCCCTTCTGATTCGGAGTCTTCTTGCTCTTCTGCTAGAGTTGCCTCGTCCGATGGAATTTCGAATGAGACAGTGAAAGACGCAGGAACAGGCTGACTGGGTCCCCCTCCTTCCTCCTCTTCACTTTGCGACCCAGTGTTTTCGGTGGTCGTGGGGCCACCCACGCTAAGAGTGCTCCTCCCCGTTCCTGATGCATCTGGCGGCTGCAAAGTGCCCTCCACAGTGGGAGCGCGGACCACCACGCCATGCTGACCGAGCGGCTCTCTAACGGGGCATTGTGCATGGTGGGACGAGGTGGTGTGAACGGGGTCGATTGCTGAGAAGTCCCCTTCAATCCCTCGAGCACTCCCGAGAGAGGTGCAGCCCCCATACGCCAAGGTTTGATCAGACAGGGACACCTGAAGCTCCACAAACTCTCCTGTGGAACAGCATCGTCGCACTTCCTTGTTGTGTGTAAAAGCCAGCTCATGGCCTCCCAAGTCATCTGACAATTTACCTCTGGGGAGAGCTTCTGTGTCGCTGTCCAGCTCCCGATAGAGCACCTTACCTTGGGGATCAGATATGTGGACCTCCCTTGGGATTTCAGACTTTGGGGAAATGATGTGGAGGGTGGTGCTTTTTAAATTCTCATCTGAAGAGACGTTCTCACCAAGGGACGTCCCTTCTGAGTCGCTGTCTCCAGAGGGGAGGAAATTGCATCTTTGAAAGGAAAAAGGGAGAACATTAATGAAAATAACATAACATAAAGAGTATTTTTGTTATGTTTGATTTGTTCTTCGTGAATGCACTGTTACATTTCACTAAATTATACCACACAATCACTATAGATGAGATCCTGGTTATGGGATATACTTCAATTTAGTCATCATACAAAGCTGTACCTGTAAGTACTTTCATGACTCCAAATCTGAGACTCTGGGTTGAAATTTGGACTTATTTACTTTTATTAAAATACATATTTGACGACTAGGGTGGAGCAGAGCAAATATTGGGGTTTGACATGAGTCCCATTGTTGTATTTTGTTGCATTATTCTATAGCAATTAAACGTATTGCAAAACAAAATAGGCTGGATAGGTTTTTTAAAAAAAAGTTAAAATAGAGGGTAATTTAATTTTATGACGAATAAAATAAAATGGGGAAAAAATGTGTTGAAAACTAAATGGGAAAAAAAACCCTTTACTCTTCAGATTAGGGCTGAAGCTATTTGAATAATTTAATCTATGTTCTTATTTGTAAAAGACAGAAGAATATCTAAAAAAAATAGCATTTAAATGTAAATGCATGAACTTTGACATAAGCAATAAGTTGCAAGTTATAAATGGTTGAAGCAATAAAGTCGACCAAATCCTCAGTCTGAACCTTAACCAAAATGTCAGAGCCATAAAGTGAAACGTAATTACATTTACACATCACTGGCACTCATTTCTACTTTAAAGGAGCTGTGTGAAGAGCATTACAAAATGTCATTATCATACTGGGGTCAGTGAATTCCAGACAATGGGACTTTAAACAGACCAGATCGTATCTATAAATAAAACAGAGGGCAATATCTTTATGTATTTTATATAACTAGACGTAAAAAGTCCACAGCTCCCTTATAAGGGGTGTTGCACTGTGCATACACAACATAAATAGAAAGGAAAAAATAGTAACATGAATACAAATCCATTGGTGTTTTACACAGATTAGCCATAATAATTTGAGTACATGTCTAAGTTTAAGTGTACTGTCAAGTTAGTGTGTCCAGTGCCACTACAAACTATTTGACCAGTCAGTGTAAAGACCACTGTGTAACATAAGGTCCAATTCTAACTCAGCAAGAGAACTTTCAAAAGTATTTTCTTCAATGTTGAGCTCTAATTATTTGCGGTTGGAGGGCCTCCATGCCATCACCCTAAGAAGGAAGACTGACCCTTCTTGAACAATAATTTTGATCACTAATGGCAGAGGTGTATTATGTGCAGATTCAAAATATGTTATTCAGCGTAGGCAGTTTGAAAGCTAATTAAAGCTCACTTAGTCTTTAATGAGTCTCTTCAGACTCACCGAAGATTGTATTTTGAAAAGTTTATAATGAAAGGCGATAGTTTACACAAACGCATATTATTTTGTTAGCCAAACCACTAATTATGTGTTTTCGGGAAAGATGAATCACGCCTCTGTTTGCGGCAAACCAACGAACAAGTCGGGGCATTTCAGTCGTCTCAAACTGACTGAGAACAGTTTGGAAATGACTCTTACAACACAACGAATGAGCCAGGGTGAAGAAATTGACAACAGCCTGATTTTAAATTGAAACATCACCTTACAGATGAATTTGAGCACAAACTTCAAGCCTTCTTGTCCATGTTCAGTGACTAACCTAACAAACGGGCAAAAATCCAACAAATACAGTCCTAAGTCTTGTAGCGGGCCCTCTCAAAAGAGTTTAAGTTGTCATAAGTGCAAAAGGGTGGGCCAACATCACATCAACCCCAATGGATTAAGAATGAGATGCCACACAAGATCATCTACAAGTATGTATGAAGACAGATAAGTGAATACTTTTGACAATATACTCTATGCTTTCATTTATGCAGCAAAAACTGTAGTATTATTTTTGCCAGTCATTTTAGCAAATTCATTTTAGCTAAAATGTTCATTTTAGCAAATTATGGTAAGGTTGAGCAACCTTTTCAGAAGTAACTGCAGGGTGATGGCAGATGTTTCGATGAGTGCTAAAGCCTGTAAAAGCGTGAGATCAGCGCAGGGTTCTCCGTTGATTGACACCACCTCGTCATCCTCCTGGACTCCAGCCAGGTAGGCGCGACTGCCATCTTCCACCTGCAGAGGGAAAAAAAGCAAGGAGAACAAAAATCACCATCAGCTGACATGCATCTGCAACCAAATGACGTTTGACAGTGATTCAACATGCATGAACATAACTTGCACAGTTACAGCTGGTGCAACCAGAGGAAGAGAACATGACCCACAAGTGAGAACTGCTAGCTGTCGCTCATCCCAACCAATCACAACAACTGTTTCACTGTCAAAGACTGCCTCTGAACAATGTGAGTTTTAAACCTTAAGAAGTATATAAAAATTTAAGATTTTTACAGTTTATCTGTTCTTTAAACTTGTTTCAAACATAAAATAAAACTGTTCAAAATAAATTTGTGCCTGATGTAATTTGAAAATTTCAATTACTGGATGAGGGGGAATAAAGTGAATGAGGATATGGAGGTAGGACACAAGGAATGGCAGGAAGGAGCAAAGAAGGAAGGGCAGCAGAGGTGCCAAGGAACGGTGCCAGAAAGGGAAAAGCGATGTCTTTCCCAACTGTTATTTTGTTTTTTCATACTTATCCAGACCTGGGCAAAACTGAAATAAAATTTAATACTCTCTATATTTCTGCAAACCAAGTTGCAGAAATATAGAAGGGAGGAGAGGATGTAAGATACATTGATGAGGGAAAAATAAGGAAGGGCTAAAGGAGACACAGATGTAGGATTACATATTAGAACCTTTTACTATAGTTAAATTTATATATCAGAAAGAAAATATTAGTATTTTTCTTTTGACACAATAATAATACATTTTATTTGTATAGCACTTTTCTAAGTACTCAAAGGAACTTAATTATACCAGTGAAAATATATGAAAATCATGTTTAAGGGCTAACATATATGATTTCCAACAATTTTATTCAAATTAGATAACACAAAAATTACATCTACTCAATTATTTGACCAGTTTTTTTTTTTAAAAAATAGGAATTGGAATCTGTACTATGATGTCCCTGCTGTCTGTGCAGGCCAACATAGTGGGAATCCATTTAGAAGGCCACTTCTTTAACCAGTTAAACCACTGACTGATGGTCTCATTTTCTAGAAATTGGTTCTTGCTTCCTCATGGTTCAGTAATAAGAAATGGTAATAGGTTGCAACAAGCTATTAAATCAGCTCAAAAGGCCACTCATACATATGGAGACAAACGATCATATTAGTACCACACAATTAGATGATACAAATCCGGATACATATATCCGGATACCGATTACAAATAGCATAACTTCTTACATTTTGTATGATGTGCAAGGACTGCAGTTGTTTGTAGGTTTATTGGGGTTTGGAAACACTTGAATAAATCAATACCTGTTCTTTTATATTTATCTCAAATGAACTCAAATGTTCTCAAGAGTTCAATACAGTAAGCAAGAGTGAAAAAAAAGAGTTATGACATGAAAATAAAAAAAGTTAACTGCTGACACCAAGAATGAGTATGTAGATAGATGAATGGCTTCCTTTGTTTAAGTGGACACAAATCCAGCACAGTAGCATTTAAAAGTACAGTAGCCATCAACTATTTTATTTAAATAATTACCATTATTGCATAGTGCAAGGACTTGCAGGGAAAGACATGGCTGTATTTCTTAACCAACGGCTCATTCTTTATATTTTGAACAAGTTGCATCAATACTTGCAGTAAATTTTACTTGTCACTAGATGGCGTGCGAATAGCACATAGTATAAGTGAAACTGCTTTTTTCCTTGTTTTGGGATTGTTGCCTCCATTTTTTTATTCACTTGATTTTAGCATGCAGAATTTCACATTTTTGCTAAAAACAAACAAACAAAAAAACAGCGAACTCAAACACAAAGGACTTTGTGGTGCATAAGGAAATTTCAAAACAGTTCCATGAGCTTGGTTACTAGAATAAAGTGTTTTATATGTTATGTTATACAACTAGCAGGCTTAATATGAGCCCCCTGACTTTATCTCCAGTTTTTACAACTGGATAAACAGACCCTAAAAAGGCAGTCGGCGCAGCGATCCATCAGGACTCTCACCTCAATACAAGGAGGATGGATACTGCTGGAACCTAACCGTAACCTATCCAAACTCCAAAAAAGGAGGGAGAATGTTTGTCGCTGCTCTCCTTGGAAGCCAAATATACACAGTCAGGCCCATTTTCCCCTCTCCCTGTCCTGATTGAAATTTACTGCTCATAAAAGCTAAGTCTGAGTCATTTGTTTGGAAATGTAACGGGTAAATACAGCTGGTGATGACCGAGGGGGCGGGGGAGCTGTGTCCACTGTTGTGGAATTAAAGACTTGCCAGAAACAATCGCATTTACGGCTGGCTTTGTGAACGGTTCTGATTTCACATGCCAAGGAAACACGTTTTCTCCAAGTTTCAACTAGGCAGATTGAAACTCCAATTCAAAATCACCTTGCAAAGCGCTACAGCTTTCTCCTTGGTTGGGACTTTTACTTTGTTTACCCACAAAACTTTAAAATATTTCACTGGGTTTTATGTGACAGACCAAGTAGGGAGTCATTTTAAAGAAAGAAAAGTTTTTATTTTTTTCTGAAACAGCTAAAAGTGTGATGTTATTCATCCTCCTTTGCTCTGAAATGTATTTTCCTCTTCGTCTATGTGGGCTACACTTACGCTAAGGATCAGCTAGAGCGCAGCTCGTTGTGTTCCGTCTATCCGCTTCACACGCCGTGCTCTTCGCAGCCGTTCGCTCCGAACCTGCTACTAGTGAGGGCAACACAAATGTGTGTTCCGGCGGGAACACCTGGCGCTAAACAATAAAACGGAATTTACAAATTTCTGAAGCAGATAATTTGCCTCGAGGAATTTTAATAATCGAGGTACGCGAATCATTGGATGAATTGTTGTAGCCCTAATCCCATCCATCCGTTGTCGTATAATCAAGGAAGGAACCCCACATGTCTCTCTTGGCAGCAATGTCATTCTGGTCATTCTGGGAATCCCAAGGCATTCCGTGGCCAGACGGGGTACATAATCCCTCCTGCGAGTTCTGAATCTATTCTCAGTAGGATGTGCCTCCAAAGGGCCCAGGGGGCATCCTGACCAGATGCCTGAACCATGAGCTTGTTCTAAATGAAAATTAGCACTTTCTTTTTTCCAATTTTGACTTCGGACGATTCACTTCCTGCTAAAGAGCCCCCTGGTGGTTGAAGAAAAATCCACACAAAAGCCGCATCGGGCTATAAGCTGCATTGTTCAGAGTATGGGGGAAAAGTAGCGACTTATAGTCTGAAAAATACGGTAATTTAACTACGTAAAGCATGTACTTAAGCCTAAATAAAGTGTTTTTGGGCAAAGTTGACACAACACAGTGTATCAAGGAGCAAAGACATAGATATGCATATATATGCAACCTTACACACTCACCCTCGTCATTTAAAGTTACTAAAACAAACATAGTATGCTTTTGGGCCAGTGGGAGGAAAGCATGATGTCTGCAGAAACCAGCATGATGCATGGTTCACTGGATCAAGGCCAAACTATGCCTGTAAGAGTACTAAGAGCAAACGTTGTTGTTTTCTAGCATCATTCAGATTCAGCTGCTATGGAGACCTAACTTTAATTTACTTACACGTGAAAACAAAACAAAACAAAAAAAAAAACAACAAAAAGTTTTCATGTAGGTCTCATGACTTTCTGTCAGAAGAGAAGCACAATGCCTCCACTTGTGCAGTTCAAGTTGTTAAGGGGAAGCAGAAAAACACCCCTGAATGACTGAAGCTGTGGCATTTTGCTGACTTCTTAATAGCTTAATAAGGTTCGTAAGGTGCACTATTATGTCTTGAATAACCAAAACAAGAAGCCTCTTGGTCCACATTTAATTCAATAATCCAGGCAAAGAGTAGCATTTATCCATGTTAGGAAGATGATTTTGCTGTAGAGATACACAATTGTAAATAATACACTCATTTGGCAAATTTAAGGTCTCACGGTTCGCTTTATACATGATCTGATCCATGTTGACTTTCCATTCTAGGATGAAATACCTTTCTAGTTAGGCAGCAACATTGTTAGGCTAGTATTTTTTTTTAAAGATCTCGTTTTAAATACTTTGGTGTTTCTGTAGCTTTAAAAAAAAGTGACCTCATCAGCTTCCTACTTGGAGCCAGGACTCACAATAAGAAGAAAAATACAACCTCCCTTATAAGGAAAGGAGAATTAAGAAGTCATGCACTTAAACTCCTCTCCACAGCTCTGAGAATTCAGTGAGTCTGAGCAAACAAAACAAAACACAGCTCCCACTGAATTCAGCAGAATTTGACCAAACACAGCAGAATCTATACTTTATGATATTTCTCCTAGGTTACTGATCTGGCTTTTTGTCCTTTCCACTAAAAATAAAAGCTCAATAGAGTCCTGGCTTCCAGATGATTTAGACTGATCTCCCCAGACAACAAGCAAACCGATGACGTCAAGCCCAGTGTTTAGCGCCAAGAGTGGACCATAATATTTAAGTGGGGAAATAAAACTTAAATAAGCTTTTCGGAATAGTAAGTTTTGTCCCCGTATGGGGCCCTGTGTTTGGCACAGCATTTTAAGAGACTGAGTACAGACTGTGTTTACTTATGGGCGTAAATTAAATGATTTGTAAATGTTTTAGATAATTTTTCCTGAGATTATGTTTTCATAATCTTTTGGTTACCTTTGGAGTATACATATCCAAAATCTGTTGAAAAAAATACAGCCTTTTCTTCTGAACATTGTTTATGTGTTGCTTAGAGATCTGAGTGCCTGCAAAATAGACTGTTTCCCAAGGAGAAATATGAACATGCTACCTTAAATGGCAGAAAACTCTTAATGAAAGTCAGAAACAAACATCATGATTTGATTATTGCATGTTCATCTGTCACTAAAAATAATCCCTGGTACTTTTTATTTTTAAGTCTCTAAGGCTTTTCTTTCAACTAGAGCTTTGATGTTGCAAGGAATGTAGTTTAACAAAAACATTTACATCTTCAGTATTTTGACAACGAGTTGATGAGTGATCACTGCAGCTTGCATTACAATACCATATAGAGTCACAGCAGCTCCTCAAGGGTAAAGGCACCTGGTTTTGCCACTGTGACCGCACTGTAGTATCAGAAAGCAGTCTTCAAGAAGTTATATGCATGCACAGTACTATGTATTTCTTTTTCTTTTTAAAAGATACTGAAACACTAAAGCAATTAATTTGGAAAGGACTAGGTTTTTTATTCTCTTGCGACGTGCTGCTATTTGTTGTTTTAGATGAAGACTGGAGTTCAAAATATTTAATATTTTTCTTTTATTTCCCTCATAAATGCAGGAAATACCAATCTGACCATCTGAAAGCCTTCTTACTCATGAAAAATATGGAGAGTAAAGGTGCAGAAACAAAAATGTTACTTATAGTTACCTGTTTAAAGATATAGCAAGATTGTAAACAGTTACCATTTCAAAATTGCGAAAAATTTTGCTTCGTATTTCTAGCTCAACATTGTTTAAGCTAGCTGTGAAAACACAGACAGTGAAGCTGTGGAAGCTAAAACCACAGCTCAGACACTGGTACAAAGGTGTATAAGGCACTTTAAAAGTTCCAGCCTTAAAACCCCTAAGACTTTCTATCATACTGTTTCTACTACTTAAAGTCCCTTTATGGTCTGACAGAGAGTACCAGAATGTGTGGAGGTTTTTCTGGCTTTTTAAAACATAGATCAGTAGTGATGCACCTCTCCCAATTGTTGCTGTACTCTGCTGCTTAGCTGGCTGAAAGAGTGCTATAGTGTTTCCCTTGTTTTGACAAAAGACCTACTTGGGTGTTTGGAAATGCTTCTGGTCACAAACCCCCCCCCCCCACAAATGGCCAATTAGATCGTGCTAAGCATTTGTTTTAGACCTTTGTGTTTGACCTGTGTGTATGAAACTGAACGTTATCATACCATGAAAATCTTAGGTCATGGTTTTATTTTATTTATTTTTAAGTCTGTTGCACATTAAAAAAGTGTTAATGCTTAACATACAGCAAACCACAATGCTATGTTTATTCCCTCCTTATTAACTGCACCTTCACGCTTTTGGAAAGGTTTCAGCTCTACTTTCATCACTTTTAGTTCATCTGCATCCATGCATGATGCTCACACACACACATTTCTCTTGCCCAGGTTAGTTCATATCCTGAATAATGCCTTGTTTTCTCCCAAGAGCCTCTGCAAACCCATGAAAAATCACACTGCCCTGACTCTCTCTTTGGCCTTGACCATATAAGGATGCTGAGGAATCTCTCACCAAAACATGGCCAAAGCACACAAAAATACACCCAATAAAAAAAAGTTTCACCACACAGATCTTCAATAAGTAGTTAGCAATATTTTTCCATTGCTATTTCTTAACAGGTACTACCTGGTAATACACTAAGGTTATTTTATAAAAAGAAAAACAAAAAACAAAAACGAACAAAAAAAGAATAGATAGATACCTGGGAAGCGAGTAAAGGTCTGTAAATATCCCCCTCTCCCTGTCTTAGGCTGAACCCCCACGGTGCGCCACCACGCAGGGTCACGCAGATGTAGTCCCCGGTGCCCATGCTGTGCGCAGCCACCCTCTGCCAAGCTACGACGGCGCGCTCATCGCGATGTCAACCCTGCAAGCAACGCTGCACAGTAACCAAATCCACCGCACCGCCGAATAATCCCCCATCATCTGAGTTCTGACTGAGTCCGGCCCGCTTTTTGGAAACGTCACCACGCAGAGACCCGCCCGCGGGCGGTGCGTGCAACTGGTGAATTCACGCTCAGTTTCTATGGGCAACATCCACAAATCCACATCATGCTGCAGACCACCCAAGCCTGTCTTTAACATTTAATTTGAGCGTTACTCGTTACGAAGTCAAATATTAAAACAACATTTTAAGCATTTAAAATATATTAAAACATTTTTTGTCATTATTTGTCAGCTACAGTACGCTGACCGCATAAAAAGTCTCCAAAAGGTTTAGAAAACTTTTTGTCAGGAGTTTGTTGTAAAGAATAAATAAATAAATCATATCTCCATGTCTCCATAAAAGAGATCATGCAAATCTGGTTGACCAACCCCTAGGTGGCGCCAAGCACTTTTTTAATCTGCCTTATAAATAAACTCACTTAATTGGATTGTTTTTGTGTTAGTTTTGTTTTATCCCGTATTTTTTAATTCTTATTATTCTACCTGTTATTTTACCTATTTTATTGCTTATTTTACCTATGAAGCACATTGGTCACTTTGTTGTGGAGTGCTACACAAGTACACATTGATTTATTAATTGATACAAACCTGCATTAGCACTAAAGGTGAATGATGCACAAAATTAGCAAAAGTAGCAGAATTTCAACTCTACCTGAAAACGATCAGAGGATTTTTTTTAATGTTAAAATTAGTCTAAATATGTTTAATAGATGAATTTATTTAATAATTGCCATAGTAAAAAAAAAAAAAGAAAAAAAAAAAAAAAAAATATATATATATATATATATATATATATATATAAAATTTGAGCGTTTTTAAAAAAGATTTAATATATAATAAATCAAAAATGTTTACTTAGCATAATAAATCTGAAAACTAGTTTAAGTACCAGGTAGGTAGGCTGTCTATATTCAGGTGATGAAACTCTGACTGCTGACGTGTATGGGTTCCCTCAGTTTCACGCATGCGCACACCAAAAACCCAGTCTGTAAAGTTAGCTTGACTGCTTCACACAAAAATGAAAGTCAGATGGCGAACTCTTCAGAGTAAAAATTACTACTTGATTATGAAAAAGTGTCCGTATCTAAAGACACCAGATGAATTTTATTTGGCTGTAAAATGTTGATTTGAGACAGGTTCAGTGTGATTCGTTGAGAAAACGACGTCAAGTTAACTTTAATTCCCTGGTGCGAGAGCGTGTCTTCAACATTGGTGCTCTTATTTTGAAAAGCTTTCACGCCCCGTAAAGATGGCTGATTTGTCGTCGTCACGGCAGCGGAGCGACCCGGTGCTCTGTGGAGTTTGACGTGGCACTCCGCTTTTCTCAGAGAAGAAGAGGATCTATCTCTCTGCCCCGCTGTTCAGGTAAATAACACAAACCAGGAATGATGACACCATTACACCTCAGATGAATAATATTTCCTCCTCAGGTAACATTTAATGTGAAACGTGGTCTCACAGATGGAAACTTTGTAGCGCTTTCCGCTTACTCGCAAAGATGCCTTAATATGTAGTAACAGTGTGATGTCATGTTTTTATAAACGTATATAAAGGCCAATGTTATTAAAGTACTATTCCTTTTACAAAATGGCAAACATGCCCGGCAAATTGTGTTTTGATTAATGAAGAGTTGTAACGCCTTTTTTTCCTTTCTTTTTTTACCCATCATAACGGACTTTGACGTGGCAATTTTCGGAAGTTGCGCAGTTCCCCAAGCATAGAACCTTAAACCCCACCAAAACTGTCACAATGTACGTGTTAAATAGGTCGAATTGTGTTTAAAATAACATATTTCCGGGGTTTAAAAGCATTAGATGAAGTTGTTAATACGAAGCTGTTGCTTAATGACCCAGCTGTGCCCAGTGGCTGGTTTTTAAAAAGTTAATTATAGCTGCAGGGTCATAAGCTTTCTGTTTGAATAAGCAGATTTAGTTGAAACTTATACAGCTACGATTTTTAAATTGCAAGATCCCGTACACATATTGTGATGTATTTTTGTTGTAATTTGTGCAACGAGCCTGTGCATAATAAAACTCAACAGCACATTTTTTCCACTTTAAAACTATATAGTCACTTCCATTCATTAACTGTAGGTCTACCCGCATATTGTTTTTTTTCCTTGTATTAATTCATTTGAAATAGTTTGTAATTCTGCTGGATTTGCTTAGAGCTCACCATAATCTGATTAGAAGATTAATACAGTTTTTTATTGATTACAGCTGGTTGTGTTCTAATAACTTTTTTTCAGAGTAATCTTAATTACATTTTTCAATCTCAAATTGCAGTAGATATGGCAATTGTTAAAACAATACCATGTAAAATGATGCTGTCTCCACAGTCTTATCATCTGGGACCTCCCACTTGGAATGAACGCTGAGCTTTTTTGCATATTGGTTCGATGCTAGTGGAGTTTAATCCCTCGTAGGACTATCTTCTGTAATCTTGGGAAAACGTGTACAGGTCTGTAAAATAGTTGTTTATATCCACTAGGCACACCCATGCCTAATTACTGCCGTACTTGTGAAATCAATAAAGCCGAACCTTCGTGACAGCACGAAGTAGGCTAAAAGTTATTGAAAGTCAACAATAATTCCCTAATCTAAGAAATACAAAGTCATTAGCTTCTATTAAAAAAAAAGGATTAGAAAGGAATTTAAAGCTTTTGAACATATTTTCAATTTGGATCAAATAAAAAAAAAAACTTGTCCTAAATAAACCAAGCTGGTACATCTACGGTAAGCTAGAAGTTTTCTCCCCTTAAATTTTATTTTCTCATATAATTTTTATTTATTTTAATTGTCTAAATAAAAACTTATTTTTAGGCTAATGAAAGTATGTTTAAATTAAGCAGTGGCAGTCGATTTTGAATAAGCATTAAAGTATACACTTTAATTGTTTGAGTTGACTTTAGTTAAACTTACTGCGTTTTACAGTGTGGTGTTCTTAGAAGAAAATTTAAACTGAAGCAATGCTGCTTTATCTATCAGGAAGCAAAGTCAAAGGTCTGCCACACATTGCTGATAACAGAATGAGGTCAAACCTCAGCTGAGGTTCACGTTGCTTGTTTACGTCCGGTTTACGCAAAATACAAAATTAAATGAGCAACCACAAAGAACTAATTCATGTATTTTATAAACTTTATGTTTTACCAGGTTGGTATGAGCAGACAGTGACAGCCGTCCCATCAGAATGAGCCAACAGGGTTACGTAGCTGCGCCCCCATACTCCCAGGCCCAGCCGGGAATAGGGGGGTACCAAGGTGGATTTGGAGCTCCCCCTGCCCAGCCCCTCTATGGACATTACGGAGGACCACCTCAGGGATTTAATGCTCCACCAGCAGGTACGATCACATTTACAAAAGAATGCCAAAAGAGATGTTTCAGTTTGTGTGAATAGAATCTGCTCAATCCAGCTCATGTTATCAATATTTTATTCAAGTATTTCATTTTTTTTTTCCCACTGCGTGCAAGTTTTCCTGCTCCATTAAATCACTGCTGCAACCAGCTCTCATGTACAGACATTTTCCCAATTTAAATGCTACTACAAAAAGCTTTTGGCCTACCTTTGAAATGTTATCAGTGACACGAAACTAACACTGAAGCTGAATGGTTATGAATACTTTTGAAAAGCAGTTTATGTTTGTGCATCTTCTTTTAGTTTCTTCCTTTTGGCACTGCCACAGTGGATCATCTTCATCTCACTCTAGCTGTGAAAAGACACTGACTGAAAACATCAGCAGACATGTTGATGTCCTGTTTATTTCTCTGCTGACAACTCACCAAGTGATGTTGCTCTGCACTGATTTGCATCTAAAGTGGGTAACAGAGATCTGATCACACAGGACCAGCTTCTAATGCCAACTATGAGTGGTCTTGCTTAGCCCTGTCTACATTTCTCTCAGTCAGCCAGGGTGCATGTTAATCTTAAATCTCAACACAGCCATCGATTCATGCGTGGATTTACACTGGATTAGACGTTTGCAATATTCTAGTCTAAACTACTGCAGCAATATCTCAACCCACTCAAATAGGCATCCTTGTATTTCTCCCTGTTAATTTTAAAATAATTTTGTTTATGTTTTTATAAACCATTAAGTAAGTTAGCAGCTTCTTACTCAACAAATGTCCTGACTTTACAAACTTGTAGGTGGAAAGCATCTGCTTCTCAGCCACAGGAAAAAGTGTCAGAGCTGGACATAAACTTCTCTACTACATAATACTTTCAAGCTTTGTTTAAAGAGTCATTCCATGAAATAATTTCACTTTGCATTGTGTTTTAATAATTTTTCAGACATAATCCTGTCATTTTCCTCTGTCACATCTCTCTATATCCATGAACCTTCTCTGTGACCTTCCTTTTTTCCGCGTCATATTTAACATCTTTTGTCCAATACATCAACATACCTCCAATTCACACACCAAAACCATCTAAGTGTTGCTTCCTCCAAGCTTGACGACATGTATTTATGTAATACATAGCAGTAGAAGACTATCTGTTATTCATTGCAGGTATGATGAAGTCACCTCCTACCTCGCCTGCAGCAATGCCACCGCCTCCTGTATCCAGTCAGTACAATCCAAGTGTGCAGCAGAACGGTGCTCATCCCCAAAGGTAAATTCCTTGGAACAGCAGCTGGATAGAAAGGGAAATTCAGTGAAATCATAACATTTGGCGAAGGTATAAAACATTGACCTTACACCATAAAAGGTCATGAGCGCAAATACTTTCTAAATATTACCTTAAGACTACCAATACCTTAGGTAGGAGGTATTCTGTCATTAGTAGAATCCACTGAATCAGTTTTAATTAAATAATCTTTTCTAACCTTCTACAGGTATGCCTCTCCATCGGTTGCCTCTCCTCCTTATGGTCAGCCTTCACACTCTGTGTACAACAGCATGGCATCGCCTGCCCCTCCAACGCAGGAGCTTGCTAATCAGATGAGTGCTATGAACCTGGGCAGCTATGGTAATGTTTACTGATGCTTCAGAGTTTTCCGTTATCTTTAACACCTGACATTTCTTAATGTTTTGCCTTGTCCTCATAGCCCCAGGCGCCATGCAGAGCCACCCCCCTCCTCCAACAAGCTCTGTTGCCCAGCAACATTTCCAGACACCAGCTCCAGCAATGGGTCAGCCACAGATGCATTCAGCCCCAGCACCACACATGGCCTCTCAGAATCAGATGTCTCCGCCACAGTCACCCCTTACAAATATGCCGCCATCAGGACAACCAATGGGAGGACAGTCGATGACTGGGCCGCCAATGGGAGGTCAGTCAATGACTGGGCCGCCAATGGGAGGTCAGTCAATGACTGGGCCGCCAATGGCAGGCATGAACAGGCCTTTTCCTGGACCTCCACCTTCAGGCCAAGGAGCTTTCCAGCAACATGGTACAGGACCCACTGCTCCGTCAGGTTACCCACAGCAATCAGGTAACTAGCTTGCAATGCCTTTCACAGCAGGGTTACTTGTTGTATTAAATTATATATTTTTCACATACATTATATTAATTTTATATTTATTCAGTATAATGTCAGAACTAACTAAGAATCAAACCCTTTATAGGACAGAACATGCAGTCTTTCTACACTTAGACCTTCTAATCGCTTTGCATCACTGGCTCTGATGTATAAAGTACACCAGTGAAAGAAAAATCAGGTTTTGATTTGTTAAAATGTTAACATGTAGATAAAGATTTTAAAAACATACAACATGTAAAATCTTCCTATTAAAAAAAGGAGCTGAATATTCGTCTGCATAGTTAGACGGAGCAAGAAGTTCCTACTATGGCCTCCTGGAGGTAGCAAATCTTTGTCCGTGGTTCTGCATTCAGGAGCCTGGTAGTAGAGGTGGAAACTTATCCATGATGTGTGTATACCACTATGAATTTTGTCTTCAGAGGACTGGCAACACTGGACTCATTCCAAGTCTTCATAAGCCATAAGGAAAATTAAAATATTAATCAAAGGCACATGTTTTGAGTAGAACCTTAATTTTTTTTTTTCTTTGATTCATTATTCTGATTATGATGCATTTCTTAAACTTGCAGGTCAGTTTGGGGGACTCATGTCTGGACCCCAGCCAGGCATGCCAGGGGCCTTTCCTGGATCTCCAGGTGGACTTGCTGGACCCCCTCAGAAGAAACTGGATCCTGATTCTATACCGAGCACAGTGAGTGTGCATAAACTATACCTGCTGTATTACAATCTTTTCTGCTGTAGTTGTTCATTCTGAGTCAATTGTTTGTTTTGTTGGCAAATCCATAAACAACCTTGCTTTAATTTCATACGTGTGTTTGTTCTACTCTCAAATTCTGAAGGATTATCAAGTAAACCTTTTTTTACTCCAACCTTTCTGCATTTAGACCCAGGTTATTGAGGATGACAAAGCGAGGCTGGGAGGACAGGTCTTTAGCACAAACATCAGAGGACAGGTCCCACCTCTTGTCACCACTGACTTCACAGTTCAGGATCAAGGTGCCAATATTTTCGATCTGAAACAATCCTAAATGACTACTCAGACCACTGGTATTGGTTTGTGTTTTATTTGTACATAATTGATTCAATGCTGAGGCTCTCTGACGTCACAGAAGACAAACGCCTGTGATTGGTTTGTTTGTACCTCCATTTAATCTACTGGCTGGATTATATGAATATGAAACATATCCCACATTATCCAACATACCCAATATAATAGGCTCTTTATTTCTGGTTGGCGTGTCTGAGCTTCTTCGGTTGAGAGTGATCCTCAAAGCAGTAATCTTGAAAAACTTTCATTTAATGCTGGTCAAACAATAGGAATATGTTCAATATGAACATTTGTTCTTAGTTTTAAGTATCATAACTACCAGAAATATATTTCTTCTTTTTCCTTTTTAGAGCAACAGCAGTGTTCAATTTAAGATGCATTTTATTATGTTATGAAATACAATGTTTTTAATACATTTACAATGTCTGGTTAAGTTGCAACATTACTTTGATAGTGATAAATAAATTAGCTACAATTAGAACAAAAGTGTTTCTCATTTTGATGTGTCCGGCGATACTGAAATGTTGTTTTGCTGACCTCAGGGAATGCCAGTCCAAGATTTATACGCTGCACGACGTACTCACTGCCCTGCACCGCTGAGCTGGCCAAACAGTGCCAAGTGCCTCTTGCTTCCATCATTAAACCATTTGCTAAGTTGCCCAAAAATGAGGTAAGCTTCACTTTTACTCGGACCATCACACAGAGAAGGAAGATAAGGTTACGATTCATTTAAACAGCAATGTTTTGATGTTAGTCGAGCGTTTATTCAACACTTGGATGGTTCTTTTCTTGTACTGTTTTGTCTGTCTACAGAAGAAATTGACTTTTTCTTTTGTAATGCAGCATGAGCTCTAAATTATGCCGAGTTCACTAAAGCTGTTTATATCTATCTGCTTGTAGTGGCATTTACACTTGGTTTTATTCAATTAGTGAACACACTTATTACCATATGCCTGAATTTCACTTTTTTTTTCCCCCCAAAGAAATTGTCATTGTTTGAAGGACTTAATTTGTCCTTTGAATAACCTCCTTTAGATAATTGTTGGAAGAAGAATACTCACTTAGATATTTTCCACCTCCGCTCACTCTGTCCCAGATGCCACACGGCCTTTTTAGGAAATGTTAGCTCTCCTCATCTGGCTTTTAGACCTAGCGTTAGATCTGCTGGGGCAAATAAAAAACAAATGTGATTTAGACAAAAAGTCTCAAAGATGATATTTTCTCCTCACTTATTGAGTGCATTGCATTTGGACATAGCTCAAAAATCATCTTATCGTGCATAAGAGTTACTTTGTGTAACTGGTTTTAATTTGTGAACCTAGAAAACACCTGTAGAATACTAAATTCTCTCAAATATTGTTGTTCTAGTAGTAAACTATTATCTTAACATAATTTAAAGCGGCGTTTAGTTTCTCATGCATAAAAGAATCATTGGAAAACTCTTCAGTTGATAGGAAGTTGGCAGAGTGCCTCTCAAAAGAATCCTTGCCCTTTGAACTTTTTTTTTTACACTGCAACTGAAAACTTTAGCATATGGCAACCTTGTAGCACATCTTTTAACAGGTTTCTTCTGTTGTTCAGACTCCTCTGTATGTTGTGAACCATGGCGAGACGGGCCCAATACGCTGCAATCGATGCAAGGCCTACATGTGCCCCTACATGCAGTTCATCGACGGCGGTCGTCGCTATCAGTGCAGTTTCTGCAACTGTGTCAATGAAGGTATGGCACGAAGAAAATGAGACTGTGTTAAATTCTGTTAATGTAATAAGGAGTGAAATAATATATGAGAGAAGGTTACATTATGTGTCATTCTTTGCTTTCTTGTCAAGTGCCGGTCTTCTACTTTCAACACCTGGACCACATGGGCCGTAGGGTGGACTTCTACGAGAGGCCTGAGCTTTCCCTGGGATCCTATGAGTTTGTTGCCACGCTTGATTATTGCAAGGTAAACGACAAGAACAGATCTGGCTGCAGTTATCCTGTTTACACAATGCTGACTTAAAATGATCTGATTAATACAGAGAAATAACTACATTTATCAGCTCTGTTCCTGTTTATGGCACTGATTATAAACACCACAGTTGGATCAGACCATAAGAGCGTCAATACTGTACGCAAGATTTTCCAGAGACTGTTACTCATTGTACGAATTAGTCTGGCAAGGACATAGGGTTGGACAAAAGTCTTGAGCACACTGAAAACAGGGGACAATGGGGAGACGGTGATGTAAATTATCTGTGTCCCAAATGAGGACAGCTGCTAATGTAAACAGCAGGAGAGGTTTCAACTTAGTCACTCCACTGATTTATTTTTATACTGCTTACAACAAATGAAACAAAGCAATCAGAGTGAAACCTTTCAAACACAAGTACAACTCTTGTTTTTTTACAGAACTAAAACAAAATGTGGACATAGATTTTTTTTTTTTTTGCATATAAAAGTTTGACAATTCTGACATCCATATATATTCAGCCCCCTTCCTTTGAGATTGCTAAATAAAATCCACTTTTTTTTTTACCAATCATTTGCCTTCAGAAGTCAATTGATTGGTAAAATATGGAGGACCAAAACGGACAAAATTAAATAAATGCATCTTTAATAACTAAATGTACAATTAAATAAAGTTTAATCAAGTGCCTAAATTATTGCATATGTCATAAAATCATTAAAATGCAATCTTATAATAGGTGATGCAGATCATTAATTAACTGTATTTATTTCATGATTCCTGTTCCAGCAGTGACAACATCAAATAATTTTATCTGTCAAAATCGCAAGTTGAGGAGCGGGGCTTACACCGATCTGTTTAACTCCATTAGTTAAACGGCATAATGGAGAATTGTCATGGAAGCTGTTTTGTGACCACCTCCCTTTAAGTGTCAACTTAATAAATTGTTACTGTGTGCTTACAGCAAGAGGAAATAACTTTTATGTCACTAGTTGTCCATCTTGAGAGAATAAACTACTGCGTTTTTTTTCCCCTCGCAGAACAATAAGCCTCCCAATCCTCCTGCCTATATCTTCATGATTGATGTGTCCTACACCAACATCAAAAGCGGACTGGTCAAACTGGTATGCGATGAGCTCAAGACTCTGCTGGAGAAGCTGCCCAGGTACAAGCAATAATACTAAAAACCAGTTTGTTTATTCCCATTCGAGTAAATCGGTGCTACAATTCGCATCCAACATCTGACTAATTGGGGGAGAAAAAAACAAAACAAAACGCTTTTCTGATTTAAAAAAAAAAAAAAAATCAGCAAAAACAGTTTGTTCTTTGAGTCCAGTGAAGGTTTCATAGTTTTGCTATCAGTGAAATGATAAAAACAGAACTCCTTGAGCTTCATCCACCTTTTGCTGACATTTTGATTTATCTTTGAGAACAGCTTGCTCTTCTCCAGGTTACTCCTTACATGCTCCTTTAGTGCCAGCAACAATATTTCTGTTCTTTTTGCTGTCATGACTTTATAGCTTAGATGATGCCAAAAACATACCGTGGATAAAAATCTGTCAGTTCAGTTCGATTTGCTTATGTTGGCCACCTGTCCTGCCAAATGTGTGCCGAATTAATATGGCATTCATTAAAAAGTTGCATTAAAAAGCAAACCAAATTATGTAGAGTGAGGACACAGCTGAACGTCAAAGCCGTTAATGAGTCGTACTTTTCCTTTAGAGGGAATGCGAATCTGGATAAGTTAAATAGAACTATATGGAAATAGCATTTGGCACTAGCAGTGTTGGCAAAGTGTGATTGTCTTCTGTGTTGTGGTAAATATGAGTGGGTTTTTGTGGAATACCTGCAGACTCAGAATACCTGTAGACTGAGCTAACGCTAATGGTGAGATGAAGAGGTTCTTTATTCATGTGTCCATGAATCACAAATATAGCTCTCAAAAGAAGCCAAACATCACCAAGCAAACCCCTCTTGGATCATGTTCCAGTCCTGCAGGGATGTTTATACTTGACTTGGAAGGACTTCTTGTTAAATGAAACAATGCAGTGAAGCCCAAAGATAAGCCAGGTTCTTGTCTAAACTGTTCTTCTTCTTCTTTGTCTGTTTTGCCTCATGCAGCTCAAACCTTTTGATTCAGAGGTTTTCAAAGTCAGATTTAGTAAGACCCCTCTTTCATAATTCACAGTCCAGTTCCAGATGATTTCATAGTCTTGTAGGCATTATATTTTAACTTTGACCGTTTTGTTGGATGGTTAAAACGGCATCACAAAAGTGTAATGAAGTTTAAAAGTAAGAATTCAAGGTACAACTCTGAATTTATGGTAGATTTTCTTAATTTACAGGGTCAAAAATACAAATACATGTTTGAATAAAGCTCAAATGTTTTGCTAAATATCTTTCAGAGAAACCACCATCAACAAGCTTCTATCTAGTATATTTATAGAAGGATGTTTGTTATTCTATTGACAGTATTGGCAGAGCTCATGTAGCTCTACTATATTTAATCTCTCTCTTTAGGAGCATCAGAAATGTGCACAAATAAAATTATTAAAGGAAGTTCTGAAAAAAAAAAAAAGAAAATCAAGAAGCAATAGTTGGAACTTGCCTTCAGTGTTGCCAAGCAACTAATTGTTTGTCTCCTTTCACCGCTGAGCTTTTTTCAAGATGGCGTTGAGCTGGTTCTTCCGGAGCTCAGTCGAGTATGAAGGTTTTGGGCCAGAGGGTTCCCCTCTCAGTGGTGTTGTAACATTCATTTCACTGTTTAGAAGACACAGATGTTCCAGTTTATAAGAGTTACCCATTGTTGGTGCGTCTGTTTATATTTGTATTTTTACCCTGTGTGGATCAGAGACTTGCAACCGGTTCTTGTGACACTGCACCCTAGCAAAAGAACAAATCATTAAACCTTGCATATTAATATTCGGATCAGAACTGTGGGTTTGCTATATCCAAGATATCCAGGTTAACAAATTTGTGTCTTAATGAGAGAAAATAACTTACTTTCCCCCAGAACTAATCCAGTTATTTGTTTCCTTAACTAATAGAATATTTCCTCTCCTCCGATCTCTGCGCCTGGCTTGATACTAGTTGAGGCCACCCTGAAGGGAACCTGATGCCCTCCTTAAAGTCCTCTGTATACTGTATATATATATATATATATATATATTTATTTTTTTTTTCGGCCGATTCCAGGGAGGACGGAGCAGAGGCCTCTGCAATAAAAGTGGGCTTTGTTACTTATAACAAGGTGCTTCACTTCTACAACGTGAAGAGCGCTCTGGCCCAGCCGCAGATGATGGTGGTGTCGGACACAGCCGAAATGTTCGTCCCTCTGCTCGACGGCTTTCTCGTGAATTACCAGGACTCCAGGGCCGTCATCTACAAGTAAGACACACATCTCAAAAAATGAGTGCCTGCCGACTGCAAGTTGGAAGCGAGCAAATGTCTCCGCTGACGGCCCCCATTCAGTCAACAGGGCTGGCAGCTGTTGGCTTTGACCAGCTCTTAATCTCTCCTCTCTTCAGCCTCTTGGATCAAATCCCCGACATGTTTGCAGACACCAACGAGAGCGAGACGGTGTTCGCTCCCGTCATCCAGGCTGGAGTGGAGGCGTTTAAGGTTAGCAACAGCGTGACATGTGTCAGCGTGTAGGGGGACACGGCGGCACTTCCTGTCATCATCCACGTCGTCATGCATTGCTTTGAGTTTATATGTGCACTGAAACCTGTTTCCGTTTGTGTGTCGGGTTCTCACAGGCCGAAGGATTCTGTTTTCTATATTTCTGCTTCTGTATGTAGAAATATGTGCTCTTGTCTCTTTAAAGGTCCCCTCCATGACTTATGGAAAACTTTGGTACTTAGAGCTTTCTCCCAGTCAATCTTCCTGTATATCTGAATAGCACTGGATGCAGTTCATTCAAACTCCATTAGCAGTCCATGGTTGCACAAAGTAAAAATCAGACAAACCAGCATACAAATAAAAAAATATCAATTCAAAATATGAAACCACAGGACAATAACAACTAAAATCACACACAAACACTGAAAGCAGTGTTTGAAGTGATCATTGTTTCAGATTTATGGGACTACAGACTGGAGTCCACTTAGGCAAGCAGCAGTTTATTTTCTCAATCTATTGTTTGTGTTCAGTTAAAGCTAACAGACGGCTTGTTTCTCTGATGCAAGATCAGGGTTTATGGTTAACTGGAAGAAGCAGATAGAACACAATATTTCAGAACTATACTGTTTACATACCAGTTTGCTCCACTTCTGGACTCTTTTTGCACAGATTTTTGTTGCTACACAAGCCAGACTGTGCCAACCCAGTCAGATTTGCGTGTGATCTGTTGTCGTCCTTCCAGGCAGCAGAGTGCAGCGGGAAGCTCTTCATCTTCCACTCGTCCATGCCCACCGCTGAGGCTCCAGGGAAACTGAAGAACAGAGACGACAAAAAGCTGGTCAACACCGACAAGGAGAAAGTGAGCTCCTTTTTTAGATGAACTTTCTTTAAATGTCAGTTTATAATCTGCTCATTAAGAGTGAATGATGTCTTACCCAACACTGATGGCCTTGTTTGTACAATAGACCCTTTTCCAGCCTCAGAAAGGAGTGTATGAGCAGCTGTCTAAAGACTGCGTGGCACAAGGATGCTGCGTTGATCTCTTCCTGTTCCCCAGCCAGTACCTCGACTTGGCCTCCATGGCCGACGTGCCTTCACACACCGGAGGCTCCGTCTACAAGTACAATAACTTCCAGGTAAAGAGCTCAGACTAAATACTTCCAGTCTTGTTGCGCAACAAGCTCTCAAGACACTGCAGAAGCACAATTTGCAACTCTTATGGTTCTCTTCTGAGTCATTTTTATGATTACGTGGAGCTGTGTCAGTGTTACCTTATGCTCAAACAGGAGGAGGGATTGCTGCAAAGTAAAGAGCTGAATGGAAACAGCTGTGCTCCCCGAGATGGAAAACTAGCATTTGACTGCTTTGTGTTCTCACTAGAATCAAAGTGAAATGCTTTTGATTAAAGTGGAACCCATTTAGTTTGATTGATATGGTCTTAAATTTCTTTTACAAATGTAATCAGTTTGTTCTCTGAAGTGCCTTGAGACGACGCGTGCACTAAACTAATGAAATAAATAACTTTGCAATTTAAACAGATCTAGAAAATGTCTAAACCATGCTACAAAAATATCTACATAATTCAGAGGAACAAATAACTCAAGTAACCCACTTATGAAGACGATCTTTTTGTTAGTTAAACTGAATTCTCTAATGCCACATATAAAATATTTGATACTTGTTTTCCCAAGTCAAGATCTTTTATTTGTCTTCTGCCCTCTGGTGGAGTATCTAAATATTACAAATAGCAGGAGAATTTTATTCAAGACGGCTTTTCACTCACTGTGTAGGAAACGAGTCCAGTTTTTAGATTGACAAAAAGTAAAATGTTAAAAAGATTATTTAAAAAAAAATGTTAGTAGTTACACAACAAATAAACAATAAGAATTGTTTTCATAAACAACTGAAAAGACGTGCATTAATTCTGATGCTCAAGTTATGCACTTTTTTTATTTAGTAGCTAGATTTAATTAGTAAAAACCGTAATAAATTTACACCTTGATTTATACTTGTCAAAGCATCTAACAAAGTCCTAAAAGATGTTTAAAGTATAGCGTTTTCTATTTCTTGCACCCAATCTTTCAAAGATAATATAAATATATTCTTCATGCAAAGTTTAATTAAGTCACAAAATGAAATCTAAATTCCTCTGAGATGTTAGGATGTATTTACTTTTGCTAATTTCTCAGCCTGTTTGACCAAACGAGACCAAATAGTGACATTAGTGCCATCTGCTGGCAGGTGGCGACCGATGGGGAGCACTTCCTCAGAGACCTGAGGAAGGATTTGCAGAAGAGCCTGGGATTCGATGCCGTGATGAGAGTCCGCACCAGTACAGGTAAAGAAAAGCAAACCTTTACTTCCTATTGTTAAAATTGGCCAACAGATGTTTTGCACAGTGCCGTGTGTGTGTGTGTGTGTGTGACCCTCCAGGCTTCAGGGCCACAGACTTCTTCGGGGCCATTTACATGAACAACACCACGGACGTGGAGATGGCGGCTGTGGACTGCGACAAGGCTGTGACCGTGGAGTTCAAGCACGACGACGCTCTCAGCGAGGAGTCGGGGGCTTTTATGCAGGTCCGCCTCTCAGAAACAAGATCCGCTTAATAACATGGCGACGGATCCTGCGAGAACATTTCATTGTTCTTTAATTCCCAGTGCGCTTTGCTGTACACCACCATCAGCGGTCAGCGACGCCTCCGCATCCACAACCTGAGTCTGAACTGCACCTCGCAGCTGTCCGAGATGTACAAGTGCTGCGAGACGGACTCCCTCATCAACTTTTTCGCCAAATCAGGTCAGCTCCTGTTTTATCGCTTAAAGTAGAAAAAAAAAGTGTCCTCTGGTTGAAAGGATTAAATATTCTAGTTGAACCCAACAAAGGAGAAGCTGGTGCAGGCACTCGCTGGCTCACCAGTCAGGAATGTAAAAACAGCTATTTGTGTCTGAATCACAGAAACCAGTAGAGGGCATCGGATGCATCGGATGTCATTTAGGCAGACGAGGCTCAAACAAAACATCTCGTTGTGTGTGACACACAGGTTTCCAAAACAGTTTCGCAAACTTTTATCAGTTTTATTTCTTATAGTTTCTGCTATATCAGCCTTTTTTTTTTTTTTTTGAAAGGTGATTGGAGCAAATTTACTGTAAATGTTTCTAACTAGATGACAAGAATGTTCTTCTTTTCATTGAAATTGGAGGAAATGTGAAGAAACACTGAGCTTTTGTCTTAAATGCCATATTTAAAGAATTGCGTAAGTGTTTAAAAGTTGAGCCTTACTGCCTCCAGCTTACCGTGCCATACTGAACCAGCCACTGAAGAACGTGAGGGACATCCTGGTCAACCAGACGGCCCACATGTTGGCCTGCTACAGGAAGAACTGCGCCAGCCCATCGGCTGCAAGCCAGGTCGGAGAAATAAAGAAATTAACATTGAGCGATTCTCGTTTTGGCATCAAAAGCTCCTGTTTAACTGTATTTTTCTGCATGCAGCTGATCCTGCCCGATTCCATGAAAGTGTTCCCAGTCTACATGAACAGCCTGATGAAAACGGCTCCACTAGTGGGCAGCACTGAGCTCTCCACAGATGACAGGGCCCACCAGCGGCTGTCTGTCACGGCTATGGGGGTGGAGGACAGCCAGCTGCAGCTCTACCCACGCCTCATCCCACTGGTAGGTGCAAGCAGACAAACTGTGCATGGTCAGCGGTTTCTTTGATCAAAACGTCAGCGAAACCATGCTTCCCGTCTCCCAGCACGACGTGGACGCTAGCGGCGAGGCGGTGCCTGCTCCAGTCCGCTGCTCTGAGGAACGCCTCTCAGACTCCGGCCTGTTTCTGCTGGAGAACGGGCACGCCATCTTCCTGTGGCTGGGCCAAGCGAGCCCGCCGGATCTGATCCAGAGCCTCTTCAACGCGCCCTCGCTCGCCCATTTGCAGCAAGAACACATGGTGAGAAATCATCTCATTACGCACGGGATGAAACGGTTTGTCGCTTTAGTCTCCAGATGAATTTAATGGGAACTAGAACAACTGCGTGTGTTAATGTGGCCTAGAATCACAAAGGCGACTTCTTCTGCTCTTGTAACCATTAGTAGAATCAATATTACAAACCTGTGCTTTAAACTTTAACCTTCTTTGTGTGCTTAGTTCACACTGCCAGAGCTGGACAACCCGCTGTCAAAGAAGGTCCGAGGCATCATCAGTGAGCTGCTGGAGAAAAGGCCAAACTCTATGAAGGTAACGACTAAAACAATAACGAGCTGCTTCCAAAGGAGGAAAAGAAGAGTAAAAGATACACTTTTAAATGATAAAGCAACAATTATTAGGACTGGACATGATAAAACCCACAAGAAGAGATCATATATGTAAAGTGGAAGGAAAATAATTTGTGGTTTCCATGTTTTCTCACAGTACGTGCTAATAACATGTATTCACCCCGAGATACTTTAGTAGAAACACTTTTAGCTTGAAATGAACCTCAGAGGTTTAAGAGAATTAAATATCTGCCCATTCTTTGCAACATAACTGTTCAAAGCATGTATTATTTTATAACCAAACCCTTCTTCAAATGTCTGCATAACTTTGTATTTACCTACAGGTGGACTAATTACTATTTAGACAAGTTGCACTGACCTATTTTTTGGTGATAAATACAAATGCACACAGCTTTTCAGATATTTTTAGAAGTTAAATCATATTTTTTTCCTTCTACTTTACAATACCATTGTGTTATAGATTGAATTTTTGTGATTTTAATGTGACAAAAGGTGAAAGTTCAGAATTTGATTTATAAGGCTGGTGTATGGTGTCAGTATTTATGAGAAACATGTAGATGTAAAGTAAAATAAATAAATAAATGCACAGTTTATAGAATATTAGTAAAAAAAAAATCATTAAGAATTAATCACGCACTACTCTACCACATAAAATCCCAATAAAATAAGAGGAAGTGAGAAAGTCGGAACAGTTTCTCCTCGTGTTACCTGGAGTCCTCACATCATCATGACGTTTCCAGCTCCTTTACAAAGAGCAAACCTGTAACATTTCTCTCATCCTGCTCAGCTGCAGATCGTGAGGCAGAGAGACAAACCGGAGATGTTGTTCCGTCAGCTCCTGGTGGAGGACAAAGGCCTGCATGGCGGCGCCTCCTACATGGACTTCCTGTGCCACGTTCACCGGGAAATCAGGCAGCTGCTCACCTAAGCCGACACACCTGGCCTCCTCAGAACATTTCAGATGATCCGTAACACATTTCTAAGAGATACGAATGATAACGCGACTGCAGATAGCCTTCAAGAAGCCCAGAGCCCAAAGCTGCCTCTGGGACGGTTTGATCTGCAAAATAACATCTTGTCGTTAAGAGCTTGTAGTAAATGAGGATCTAAAACCCACTTTGACCTCAGCAATACCCCATCCAGTCTAATATCATTACTTTGTAAATTATTTTCTGGAAAAGACAAAAGGGTTATTTGTGTAGACATTCTGTGTTAATCTTCCAAGAAGAAGTATTTAAGTTGTTATTTTTCAAACAATAAATACTCAATATTTAAAATGGCTTTTAGATGTTTATCATGTTTACTTTACCATCAGACTGGAAAAGTGCTTTACAATAACCAGATGAAAAATTCGAAAACGTGAGGAGGACGACAGCGAAACAAGCGTCTGGCTGCAGGAGCTGAAATTCTGTCCTGCTTTTACGCCAGGAGTGACTCAAAGCGTTCGATTCTCGCATGCCTCCTCCGAAAGTCGCATTCTTTGTCCATTTATGGCTGAGCTTCCATCCGCACGACCTGCAGAGACGCAGAAAGAGCTTTGTTTTGCTGTTCTGAGCTCACGGCGAAGCGAACGCAGCTGTCGCTCGGCAGCAAATGAGGGCAGGAGGAGAAAAGACATTTCTTCTCTCCTCTTGCCTCAAGTCCTTGAGATGCTGCTGCTCCTGCTGCTGAAAGGGAAAACATCTAGTGAGACAAAAGACTGGGTGGCTGGAAGACATCAAAAAGATTTTTAATTTGTTCTTGTCATGAGTTGCGCATTTTTATTGAAGGTTAATTTAAAACCAAATTAAAAAAAAAAAAACTTATTCAATAAATGCAAAATCAACTTTAGCCAAAGCGTCAGCCTACCTTCAGTGTACAGATCCATTAAATGTACCTACAAAGAGTTTTCAGTACTGTATCTTCATGCTATTCCAGATATTATCCTGTCCTGTGTTGATGCAGCCAGCATATTCGTTTTTTTTTGTTTTGTTTTTTTGTATTTACACAATATTACCAAATGCCTTAAGTTGATTTATTTGTTAATATTTCTGCCAGAGAGGTAAAAGACCAGCAGTTGTGTCACTTTAGTTTGTATGCAAACTTATCTCAGGTGATTTCTGTCCATTACCATTTCAAGTTGAAAGCAGTGATTTGGTTTGAGCTGGAATGATGGAGCGACTCGACGGTCTTTGATGCTTGTTCCGCTTCCTAACTGTAAACAACTTTTTGTTTTTGGTAATTAAAACTTTCGACTGAAACAGTTTCGCTCATTTGTTTCTTTGCAGTCACTGCAGTAAAGAAATTAGGACATCATCAAAAAAATTAATTCAAGTAGCGATACTCATTTAGATTCATTGCACACACTGATGTTTCACTTCTGCTCATTTTGATGATTCACAACTAATAATAATAATAAACTGCCTTTAAGATTTAGAATATTGAATAAGATCAGTTCTTTTAATACAAAAATGTTCTGTCTAGAAAAATGATGGGGAAAACTGCTGACTTGACAGTCACTGACGCGCTACACAAGGAGGGTAAGTCACAAAAGGTCAAGTGTCTGGCTGTCCAGCAGGTGGACACGTACATATGATGAACCACAACCATTCAGCTAAAGTCCTCGAATGTCTGAGGTCTCCTCTTGAAATGCTTATAACTGCCCATTTCACCAATATTTTAAGTTAATTAGAGAAAAACACATCTCATTAGTTTATAAATATATATATATATAACCATGAAAATAAACTGCAGGCATGGGAAAACATTTGAATGACCCTATCACAGTGAGTCTTAATTTCCGTGTGTGATAACCTGTTGCTACCACCAGGGGGCATGAACTGATCTTAATTGAGTTTGAAGCAACTGCTTTTTAACCTGAACATCAAAAATGTGTTAGTATAATTTTAATTAAATGAATAACTTTACTGTGTATACAGTGATGAACCGTTCACATTTTATCTGCTTCATGGACGATTCTTATTTTCACAGAGTGAAAAGAAAAACGAGTGGTCAGAAAATAATCAATGACAAGCTACGATATTTAAAGTGGTGAATCCAATAAAATCAATATTGACCAACTCAATGCAACTGAACCTTGTTGTGACAAAGCCTCCAACAATCAGTGGCTCACATCAGTAAATAAATGAAAATAATACAAGTTTTACTATTTAAACTCAATAAATAAAAATCAAAAAGCCCAAAGCCATAAAAAATAAAGAAAAAAACCCTTTTACACCAAAGAAATGTATATGAAGATAATTAGTTTTTAATTTTAATACTTCAAGTCTAAAAAATAAAGCTACATTTAATAACTGTTTTAAAACTAAAACAAAAGAAATTAAAAAGATTACATCTTAAAAGCCAGAATTTAAATATACTCAATTTCTTAAGTCTACCTGCGTTTATAGATAGTTTGGCGAGTCTTTTTGATTTCAAATATCCAGGTTATTGTGTGAGAGAGAAACAACAGACATATTGTCAAATGAAAACCAATCAGTACATATATATAATGCCCAGACAAGTAGTTTCCATCCATCAGATTGTTACCCAGCATGCTTGGCTTTTTCCTCCATATAGTGCCACTCAAATCCTTCACTCGGGAACCAATCATGTTGATTCAGTGTCGGCAGCTAGACGTTGCCCTGCAGGGAATGAAGGAGGGAAAAAACACCCCAACAAGAAACTTTGCAGACAACAAAGAAATAATGCATCAAATCTGAGATCACCCACCAAACCCCAGTGGTTTTTACTGCTAAAGCAGCAGATTACAAGGACAAGTCTGAAGACCTGCAATTCCTCAGAGAGCAAGTTTTCATTTAATACTGTACAGCTGACAATTGTTTTATACAATGACCATGACGCTGCCGAGAACTCCTCTACATGAAAAAAAGAGTAAAAATCAAATAAAAACATGTCGATGCTTTACTTTACAAGAAATGTACATACATCATGTCAAAAAATACATCAAAAGCAGCTTGTCCTCCCATTTCATTTTTATAAAGTTGCCGTCATTTCGCGTGATACTTGCGGTAAAATCTTGCTGCAGATGCAAATAAATTTGCTGGAACCTCCAGTAAAGATATCCAAAACACCTTTAAATATGTAGATTTCTTGTCATTTGCAATGTGGAAATTCAGCAGAAATGTCCTCAAATTAAAGTTTGCATTCCTTGTAATTTTTTTCAAATTGGAAAAAAAAAGAATCTCTTAAAAATATGATCTTAGCAACTTTTTAAAGTTAAACTGAGTTTTTTAAAATTTGTAATAGAAGAGTATTACACCTCCTTAGGTATAAATATGGCGTGAGATATTAGCTGCTCTTCAACATGTGAAAGACTTCATAAGACCTGATGTAGCCTGATATAGTGACAAGAAATAACTATTCACCCAAACCTGCTCATATGCACAGTTGGAGCAATAACAAGTCACCAGATCTCTATAACCGTGGATGCTATACAGATAGCATGTTTGTCTTACCATCAGAAATGTAGACATGGTGTTTGTTAAACTCTACAGGGGTTTTAACTGGAAATGTTCACCTTGATTGGATGAGTCTAACCTTTTTCTTTTTTTTTTTTTGTTAGCAAAAACCACCCCAGGTGGTTCTGGTGTGCAGCTCAAGATGAATATCTGGGAATGTTGTTGGAGTCTAAAGCATCTTGAACTATTTGAACTGCAAGAATGTGAGATTTAAAATTAGTGGTGTACTGGCAGGAAGAATCAGTGGCAGTTTTTGATATGGTCATTATGGGCCTTTGCCCAGGAGAGCATTAGAAAGAGGGCGGACGAGTACATTAAAAAAAATCTATCATTTTTATCCATCAGTTGTGCATTGAATACGTTTTCTGATGTTTTTATGTAGGTGGAGTCATTCAGTGGTTCAGCAGGCAACCCTACTTGTCACTTTACATGGGTAAAGTGACAAGTTGTCACTTTACATGGGTAACTACGCCTGACTGGGAAATCTGAAGAAATTATCTCTTTGCAAACAGCAACCATCTAGTCTAGTCAAAAGTGTATGCTAAACACTTCAGTTACAGATAACAAACTCATTCAAAAACATCAAAGATGCTTAAATGATTTAAAAGCGTGACTCGCTCATCACAATAGGATTTCTTGTTTAATCATCTCTTAAAAGGTATAAAAGTTAAACAGCTGAAAAGTCTTAAAACAGCTGGGCGTTTTGTACTTTTGTACAAAAAGTAGTTAGCCAAAAAAAACAATCATCAGGAGGAATATAATCTTTAGAGTGTGAATGTTTTACGGCATTCTTGTTAAAGGCTGTATTTTTTGCAACATTTTCTGCTGCGAGACTGTAAGAGAATAATTTATTTTAAGGCTTTATATACATCTTTACCAGGAGTACCAACAAATTTGTCCACGTCTGTACCCATGTGCTTAAGTTATGGTCCGATTTTGACATCAATACAATCCTTGTGTTGTCTAGTTGGCAAGTAAACACGATCAGAATTGAGATATTTTCAAATAGACTTCTCATCTAATGTCATATCTTTGAATGTACAACTTAAAAATGGTAAAACTTGTTTTTTTCCCCCCTTCTCTAAATAAAGAGTAAAATCACAGACCACACTCGACTAAGTCAGGTAAGAAACACTCTGGAACTTGGAGCGGGTCGTTCAATATTCCTAAAGCTGCGAGTCACAGTGATTTCACTTGGCAGTAAATAAAACAAGGCAGGAAATTTGAATTTTTACGTGCAATTTTATTTTACCGCATTTTTAAATATTAAATTGAACCCTAGTTTGATATCTTAAAACAAAATATGAATTCCAGAGTGTTCCCAACATGCTTGCCTATTCCTACTTGTGGCCCAACAGTAACAATGAACAAGATTTTATCTATGGTCAAAAGTCTGCATAGCACACTGTACACAGTATGAGTCCAAGTCAGTAACTGGGCCATGCTAAAGATGATGTTCCTCTCCAAAGCTCCGGCTGGCGGCCAAAAGTTAGAGAACATTCTCAAAGAGATGCATCGATCGCATGATGTTTTCATCCTGGGGATTAGAAAAAAAAAAAGAAAAGGGGACACAATATGATGAACAACGGCGAGTTTAAGCCAACAGTAGTGAAAAATCAGGGAGTGGGGGGGAATCCAGCTTACGTTTTGGCAACAGTCAATGAACTCGTCTATGGTTACCACGCCGTCTTTATTTTTATCCATCTTCTGTTGGAAAGGGAGAATAGAAAAGATGAACAAACACAAAGGGGGATTTTTCAGAAACTATAAATACAGGAAAACAAACAAAGACACTTGCCTGGAAGAATACTTCTACATGCTGACGAGGCGTCTCCTCTTTCAGGACGGGATATGTGCATTTACCCATCATGTCGTAGATAGCCTTCATGATGTCCAGCATTTCCTGTCATGTGGACACACAAACAAAGCTCTAAAACGTTAAAGAAAAAAAAACAAAAACCTGGAAATAAAATTTAAACTAACACAAATTACTAAAAAAAGAGCCTTTTGTGGTTTTCCAAAGCAAATAAAGTTTGAGCATAGAGGTTGTCAAGGTTGCCTTACTGTGGTTTTACTTTCATATGCAGCTTCTGTCAAGCTATGTTTACAGCAGTGACTTATTTTTCCTCAGTGTCTGAGCCAAATGAGTGATAAATAATACATCAGTGTAATGACTTTACTTCCAGCCACCACATTAGCTTGAAGTGACTTTTTAGGGCTAAATGATATGAGAGGACTTTTTTTACTTAACTTCCTGCTTCTTCCTGAGCAAATCACCACAGAAATAGTCACATTATGAACTCAGATTCAAGTTCAAGAGGTGACTATTTCTTGTATGTTTATTGTCCTTGCTATTGATGGCAGAGTTTGGCGTTCGACGTTCAACCTCGTTGCATGTCTGCAACTTTTGTCTGTGTTCATGGGATTTAAATCCCGAACAACAGCTGCAAAGGAAAGGTTACAAAAAGCAGTGATGCGTCTTTTAAATCGCCCTCCGTTCAACTGAAATAAACTCTCCACATTAAAAGTATCGACAGTGACGCTGCTGAAGTACGCCCGGTGTGAAGGAGACTGTGGATTATTCAGACACTGTTCAAGGATGGGAGACATTATATAAAATTGAAGCCAATCAACAAACACTGAATCAACAGTCACAAAGTTTTATTCATGCTCATTTAATCCCTGTGTGAATTATAGCTGCTGGCAGTAGCTTTTCATCCAGAAGCCAGATAAAGCAATCATCTGCCAGACACTTTGGTTTTTGTCCAAAAACTTCAAAACTAATGGCAATCCTCGGAGTGCTGGCTGTTAAAAGTTAATTATTTCTTTACGAGTTTTGTTTGTCTCTTGCAAAGCACTTTGAAATACATTTCTTGTGCAAGGATGCAGACATAAATTTGAGAGTACTGACTTGTTAAATAATCAGCCTCTGCTACGGACTAAGCTGAAGAGGCGTGAACACAAATACAACCCCGGCAATCAAAGAGACAGGATATTTCTCAGCGAGAACTACGGGTCAGTTTCTGGTTTCACAACACTTGTTTTCAGAACAACAGTAACGTAGCATGCCAATTTAATGACATAACAAATCTTACTGTGGAGTTTTACAGGTTACTAAAGTGTTAACAATCCAAAAAACTTGATCTTGATTGGTTGACGTCAAGTCAAGTCCATTAGCAGAGCATTCTAAAAACAACCAAAGCTAGCAACAGTGGTTAAGAAATTAACAATATGTAGAACAGAACAAAGAACAGAATCTCTATGTAGATGAAAAAAGTACAAAAAAAAAAAAAAGACCTAAATGCATTTTCCTAAATGCTATTATACTGGCCAAAAAATAATGGAAAAAAAAAAAAAAAAAAAACTGAGATGAATTAGAAACACAAGGAATTAATATTAAAAAGTCAAAAGGTTGGAGCCACTGATTAAATCCCCGAGATTGTTTGAAACCTGCGTTCCTGCGGTCTTCCTTTATTAAAAGAGATAATTATATCATAATGTACCTCTTTAGTGATATATCCATCTTTATTGATGTCATAAAGGTTGAAAGCCCAAATGAGCTTTTCCTGCACTGTGCCTCGCAGCAGGATCGAAAGCCCCATAACAAAATCCTGGAACAGAAACAAGAACTGCTTATACGTGTACAAAATATCACACCAGGAAAAAAAAACTAAATAAAAACAACAACAACACACATCTCAGACTTAAAATCCCATGAGGTAAACAAAACCAGCCTTCATGCCTCTGCGTTTCTGCCAGCGCACACAATCCACGTTGGTTATTAATTAGAGATGAATGATGAAACAGCAAAAGTGGAGGCGCTATAAATCAAAAATACCTCATTATTCAAATGATCAGAAAGCTTATGCTCTGTGTGGGATCCCACAGGGAATCACTGTGTTTCTGCAGAACTGACCGAGCAAAAAGCAGGAGGAGGGTTGGGAGGAGGAGAGCCGGGGGGGGTGGGGAGGGGGCAGTTTGGAGTGATGACAGCTCCTCTGTCCTAATAAGCAAATATTTGTCCCTCATAAATATTAATAAAATGCTGCCAGCATCTCAAGTAAACTTGGTTGGGCTGAATAATAAATGATGGAAGAGACATTTTTGACTTGATTCTTTGGAGAAATCCAGCTTTAGTGTACTGATGGACTTTATAATAAATTGTCAGACCCTACAATTAAGTCAAATATTATTTGAGTTCCACCACTACTACTTAAATAAACGCACCATGCCAAACAATGATGCTGTCTATGAAATCAATTAGTAGTTTTAGAAACTACTAATTGACTACTTATTCTGAAAAAAAAAATCATAATAATTTTGCCTCGTCATTAAAGCAAACATACTTCAGATTAAGCTTTCTGGTAAACATTCAAAATCTTTTGAAGAAAAGGTTGGATGTGTGGAAAAACACCTCATGCTTCCTGCATGGTGGAGGATCTGTGATGTTATGGGCCTGATTCTCTTCAGTAGAATCCACATTGACTGCAGAGTGTTATACATTATTTTTAAAAGTAAGTAAGACATTTTAAATTAAAGCACTTTTCCTCCACAAAACTCCATCCAAACATGTCAGGGCATGTAAAGCAATGGCTCTTCAACAGGCGATTTTTTCTGGTGTAAGTTTTTAGCCCAGTAATTTGGTTTTCTACCAACATAAGGAGGGGTAGAAGTGTCACAATCCATAAAATACACAATGTTGTGACTTTTTACACTTATATGTTGTTCAGTATATTTTGCATGATAAGTGACTGAATTACAATTATATGTTAAGCACAATTTACATGATGATTATTATTAATTGTATTGAACATGATTGTATATAATTACAAAGGTGAAGTGGAATATATTTAAGTGTGAGACATGATTTATTTGAATCGAGAAAGTCTTTTATTTTGAAGAATGCTTAACAGGATCTGGTTCTGTTTCGTCAATACCTTGCTTTTGTTGATTTTTGGTTGCTAGGTTACGAACAGCTGTTGCCGTTTTTCCTCTTCAATAAAAACTGAACAGAAAGGTTCAGTAAAAGACATACGAGCCTCCGTCTTGTTTTAAGAAGCTTTACTCCGTAACACATAATAGTTCAATTTGACTGTAATAAATGTTAGATACGTAAGTGGGGGGGAAAAAAATCATCAATATTTATATAAATGTCAATACTTTATTAAAAACACAAATAATTAAAAGTGAAATTAACTGACTAGAACTTGAATTCATTTGAAGTTTCAAAGGACGTTTATTTAATTCAAAGTAAGTATAAATAATTGATTTAACTTTCCACAGTCCATCATTAAGCAATTTGAATTGCCACTGTTGCTAATCTCATAAACCCCAACAGAAGAGCAACTCGCCTGGCACTTTAAAACAGTGACTATGACAGGTCAGGCATGGGAGATGAAATAAATTCATGATATGAAGCAACAAAGTTGAGAACTGTTTTCGTTATTAGCCGTATGGGCAGTTGCCCAGGGCGGCGTTAGAAGGGGGAGTTGCACCACATACAAAACATAACTTATCTTAGCTGCAAACTTTCCACTGCTTTCATGAATGTGCCGTCAACACACAGTTGGTGCTCGTGTTGAGAAAATGCCTTCAGTTTGCCACTAAGAAATAAGAAGATCAGGCATCTGCTGTGGAGATGCTGTCAATCACACTCTGCACACATGGGGTGATGCTCAAGATATCTTATATATTTTTTCTTTCTCACCTGTCTGGTTTGGTTTGCCCATAACCATCTGGAATTTTTTTTTTTAAACTACTTTTTTTTTTATGTACTGTATATGTAACCTGGGACCACTTCTGTGAGTTTATGTGATGCAGTCAAAACCAGAAAGAAATTCAGCAACAATAGAGAAATTCATTAGGGCTGAAATTCATTTCGCAAGTCAAACGAAAAAGCCTCACACACAAGGTTACAGACTCGTGGTGCAAAAAAAAAAAAAAAAAAAAAAGGGTATTCAAGGCACGGTGACATTTGCTTTTGTAATATTATGAACTTGTGTTCCTAGTTTTAAAGGCCAAGTTGCGGGTATTTTGCCATTTTTTTGTGAAACAGAATCTGTAGGTTTTATGATAGAGGTTGATGCTGGGAGAGAGAGAGAGAGAGAGGGGCTAACCCAGGGCAATGTTCCTGCAAGAACCATCACTAAGATGGATGTAGAAAATGAATGGTCACAATAGAAACCCAGAGTAATGTCCTGTTGGTGGACGGGAGCTGCAAAAACTCTGAACAGGGGGGAAAAGAAGTGTGGCAGTGGTGATTCTGTAAACACATCTCAGAATATTACGAGTCTATGCTACTATGTTACAAGCTGATATTTGTACGTTTTTGTTTTTTTTTTCTTTTTTTGTCACATCTACCAGGGGTGCTAATTAATATAGAGGGAAGGGAATTCTTTAGTGTGAGGATAATGCCCTACTAGTTCTTATTTTTTGTTAGACTGCGTTATTCTTTCCGGCACCTTGCTCACCTCAAAGCTCACAGAGCCATTGTGATCCGTGTCAAACGCGTTGAACAGGAAATGCGCATACGTCGAAGCATCTACAAAGAGGAACAAAAGCACACAAAATCAAAAATCATTCGTGACCAATTACAGCCCATCTGACATCAAAAGTAGCACCTGCTGATAACAAGAAAATAGTTCAAAGCCTTATTACTACTTTCTTTAGTAGTTATATGTGCAGCTTCAAAGAAAAGAAGCAGCTCTTGCAGAGAGAAGAAGAAAACACAGACATCTTGGAGCTGAGAGTTTTCTCCTGGTTTCCTGTGTGGGGGAGCTCATGTGTTTACTGCTCTGCCTGTCTGAGTGCATGAATCAAAGCCTCCTAATGCTTCCTCTATTTTTCCTCGAGTTGGGGACAATAATGATGAAAGCTGAAGGCTGCACACATAAAATATAATCTCAATTTTTTTAAGCATTTGCTTTGGTTAGAATTTAAGTACACTGGACTTGATGAGACAAATGGACTTGGTATTAAAACAGGTCACACAGGAAACGGGGCGTAGCTACGTCCTACTTCGTACCTCCTTGTGGAAAAAACTGTGCGTAGATATCTTTAAAGGTTTCTTCATTGACGACGCCACTTGGACACTCCTGAAAGACAGGGTGAGTTAACAAAGATCATTTCCCAATCGTAAAGACTCTTTTCTAGTTTGAAACTTTGCCGATTCTAAACACATTCGCACTGAATTAAACAACCTCCTCTCAATGGGAAAGTTTTGATTTTTTTTATCCCTCTCTTTTCTTCTATGACTCTTTGTGCAGGCCATAATCCCAACCCAAGACCAGTGGCATTCAACTGCAAACCCGCCCCACCTCAGCAGAGATTTTATCTAGAGCCTTTTGAAGCCACCCACCTTTGCCGGTGGCATTCACCGAAAAGACATTTATGTAACGCCTCCACTTTTGTGCCATTTTAGAGAACCAAAGATATTGCAGATGACCTTGGTCAGAAGCAGAGCGCTGATGAAGAAAGTTCGTTTTTGCAGGCTCGGCTTGGCTCTCTTGCTGCAAATCTGCAGTACACTGAATATTTAAGATGGAAGGAACTGAAACGGAGAGAACAAGGTCAACGCTCTGAATATACTTGAGATTTTTCAGAGTGGATACCATTTTCTTTTCTTTTTTTAAAATTTTTTTTTGCATGTAGAAACAACCAAAACGGAGGTAGTAGCTGTAAACTAAACAGCAGCACAGATCGCTGATGGAAGTGTTGATGCCATGTGATTGGCTGATTCACAGCTGTCGTACAGATATACTTAAAAAGGTAGTGAGCAATTATACACCACAACATCTGGATGTAGGTTGACAATTTGATGGTCGGCAATTTTGTGAATTAAAACAAGTCCCAATAGCTCGAAAGGAAAATCAACCAACACAAATGATCTTAATCATCACCTTCTTCTCCAAAGCGAATAAAACATTGGATTTTTGTAAAAACACCTTTGTTTGGTGTCTAGTTTAGATGCATAATATTTAAATCAGTGGGTTATCAGTGAGGTTGCTGTGAAGAGCAGGGTTTTGACATTGGCTGACTTTCTGTACGGGTGAAGATAAACTGGAGATTCATAAAGACCACAAGAACAAAAGTAGCTGAAAAGCAGAAAAAAAACCCACAACAACAAAGTTTGGATTCAACTACTTTGCTGAAAGGTTCGGTACAAGCTGGAAAATGTGAATCTATCCTCACTAGAAGGTACGTCTAACTCCTTTCTCACGGTAGCCAGTAATTGTGTTCATATTTCACCGTTAGAGAACCCTGAGCGACAATGGTGCGACTGTCGAGGCTAAAGGGAGAAAAACGCTGCTGCTCTGTTCAGTTTGCTAAACATTAGATTCAATAAACAAGTCAGAAAGCAGCCAGGAAAACATTGTACTGTGAACAACCGAGACCAAAATAGAAAGCTTTAAGGAATCCTAAAGTTTGGAAGAAGATTAGACTGCGTTCCAGCAAACACAGGGACAGCTGTCTGTGAGCTAAAAGTCACAAAAGAACCAGGAAGGAAGGCAAAAACTACCTCTGCTAACAAGGAGAATGAAGTTAATATTTTAGACTGACAAAAAAAAAAAAGAAGCAGTAGATTGTCTGAAAACCTGAAATGACAAGAAGCCAGACCTTCTTGTCACTTTTAAAAGCTGATAAGAAAGTCTGGCTGCTTGAAAGAACAATATAAATCGAAGATGACAGATGACTCAACACTTCTGAGATTTTCCAGCTATAAAGCAATGCTGCTGTGGCTTAAATGAGTGTAAAAAATATAAGAAAATCTTTGAGTATAAGCAATTTTGATAAAAAAAACAAAAACCCTTGGTATTAATTATCAGCTACGGTTATTAAATTTAGGAAAAAAAGATGAAGAAATGACGAAAGTAAAGATAAAACATTGTAGTTCTGCTTTAAACAAGTGTTTTGTGTTTGGAATCTCAGAGAATTAGAGGAAGTTCTTTGCACAATTCCTCTGAGATTCTTTTGTGTCTAACCCACATCTAACCCACTTTTAAAGATTTTTTTTTTTTGGTAAGACAGAAGCCAGGGAAACGAGGGAAAGACAAGTCAGCCTTAATATTTTCCATCAGTCTACAGCAAAACTGAGACATTAATTTATCTGGCCATTTTCAATGAAGTCCCTTACAGATATCTTCTATATTTGCTTTAGTTTCAGACTTGGAACATAAAAAAAAACACAAAAAAACTTTATTATAAACAAAGTAAAAGCAAAGTGCAGGTTTCAAATAACGTTTTCATATACTGGGGTAAAAAAAAAAGACACCGTAACACAATTTTTAGATTACATTTCACTAGCCAGCCTAAAGACTGATTACTGCAGAGCACGTAGAATCAAGACAGCCTTTAAACAGAACTTCTCTGACAGCTGGAAGTGGGATTAAAAACTCAAAAAGCAAACGAGGAACATAGTTACTAACATCTATCAGTCTGAAAAGTGTTTCAAATGCATTTCTAGGAGCATCGAGATTCAAGTGGACGAGAGTGGGCGCCATTGTCAACATGATGGAGAAAATATGAAACAGTGGTTGAATTTTCCATGAGACAATAAATATTTTAAGAGTGCCTCAACGAGTCATCCAGGAGGTCCCAAAGAATTACTGGCCTCATTAACAGTGACTCAGTTCATCTCACTGTTCACGATTCAAGCAAACAAAACAACAAAAAACCCGCCGGCATGGCAAAAACTGTATTTAACCGCAGCTGATGATAGAGAACACAAAGGCTTGGCTCACATTTGCAAAAAAAAAAAAAAAAAAAGTTATCTAGCTGATCTTCAAGACTTTTAGGATATTATTCTGTGGACTGAACAGACGAAAGTTGAATTTTCTGGAAAGTGCGTGTCCCATTCCAACAGGCGTAAAAAAAAAGCCTGTTAACAGTCCTAAAGGAGAATATATCACCTACAGTTTGTGACCTTAAATTCAAATTTACTTAGGTCATGCAGCAGGACAAGAACGATCAGAAAGTTCACCTCTAAATTGTTTAAAACACAGTGAAGGTTTTGTATTGGCCTCCAAGTAGCAGTTTCTGTTTATAGACATCTAATATGACTGAACTGAAATCATCTGCAGTGATATAAAAATATCATAAATGCTTTATAACACCTGGGCAAGTTGATGGCAGAAGGGCGATTAGGCTGCTTTAACATTACCCCAGTTAGTTTGAATTACTTTATTTCTCTCAATAACTGAAATCATATCTTTTTTTTTTTTTATTTTAACTCGGGTTATCATTGAGGTTAAAGTTCGATTTATGACATTAAACACTTAGGAGTGATTTAAAAACTCAGCAAAGCAGAAGGAAATTGCCACATAAGAATTCCTCCTCAATCTGATTCAGTCAGAAATTATGTTACTAAACTTTTTTTTATAAAAAGGCTTGGATCTGGACAGCTCAGAACTTACATTTTATTTATTTACTTATTTATTTTGAACGTGACAGAAGTAAGAAATCACACGCATGAACAAGGAACTTATGAACTCCTACCCCATAAATATTTTCAGATGGACCCTCATTATTCAATCAAATAATAATAATAAAAAGACTTTGCCTTTCAATTTTAACATCATTTGTATAACTTGAGGATATCGAAGATAAAAAAAAATTGAGAGCATCTTGTCTTTTGTTCAGAGCATAGTTTCCTATTGACCAAACGTGAATGAATATTTATGGAGATGATGGAATGTTTACCCGCACAGTTTAACCTCACTTCAACAAGCACTTTAGATTACAGCCTACCACACCATTAGCACGCTAATGTATCTCTTGCTCTGGGACCGCTGCTTCCTCTGAAATGTGTGGCTCTTTGTGACAGACATTTTGGGAACCTGAAGGTCAGCAATCAAGAGTGATGTTTTACCGAACAACACTGATGACATAATTCATCAGCGTTTACATTTTGTATTTTTATTCTGGCGACGGCGCTCGTCGGAGAGGCAATTTATCAACCGAGTGCTGCCCGCTGGTCATCCAGTTATGATTCAGTGCTCTTGCAATTCAATTTGAGGTTAACGGTAACGGCTACATCATCACGACTGGCCACATCGGGATAGCAATGTTCTCATGGCCTTGTTTTGAATGTTTTTTTAAATTTTTTATTTTGTAATCATAAATGTAACCATAAACCAAGAACGAACAAGAAATTACAATGAAATTCATTTAGTTTGCGCATATCTCATTGAGACTGTCAGCGATTTTGAGGGATCTGCATTGGTTTGGCACGCTCGTCTTCCGTGATGAGCAAATCACAAACACAATCTCTGAAAGACGAAACTGACCAGGCGTGACATCCGAGAGCAAAATCACGCTGTGAACGGAGACATCAGGAACAATGCGACACAAATTGAGAGCTCTTAGTCAAGTGCTTTGAACCGGTGACCTCAGGCGATCTCCAGGAGTTGAGGTCAGAATCTGAGGGCTTGTTTTGTTCCCCGTTAGGCTCATTTCTGAAGCTCCGAGCGGCCGCTTCATAAAGTCACCTGTCAAAATAAACGACCTCCGTCTGCCACCTGCGTCGGAGCCGTTCGATTTGCCCCCGAATCTCCGGACAACAAGGACAAAGAGGCCAAACTTCTCATCATGGGAAGCCGGCCAGCTTCTATTAGTCTGCTGCCCTTAAAAGCTCTCCTTCACTCTGCCAATGACACCAGAACAAGACAAAGTGGAGCTGTTTGTCTCCAGGGGCTCGCCGAGGGAGAGGGATGAAAAAACATTCAGCAGCAGTAATCCGAGCGCCGTAACCATTTGCTTCTTTACAAATTAAACTTTTGCTCCAGCATAATGTAATTATACAAGAGGGATAAACGATGCATAAACAACATTAAAGAATATTTGTACAAACTATGAAGTTTAAGTGGGAAAGAAAAGCCTGAGAGAGACCGATAATGCCAAGTCTACCATCCTTTGGAGGAAAGCATCAGTAGATTGGCTTCATCACTGTTGCTCTTAAAGGTATATGCACCAGCTATGCAGTGTTAGAGCAGCTTCGAGGCAGGTTCAGGAATTTCTTTTTAATACTTTGAAATATCCTTTTTCATATTTTCTCTCTTTACATAAGCTGGGCTAAAGCTCTATATTCACATCTGACAAATATTTAGAATCATTGACATGATTTAGTGTGGTGATGTCAAACTCCAGTCCTCAGGAGACTTTTAGTCCTCTACAGCTTCTAGATGTGTCTCTGGTCCATCACACCTGAATCAGATGGCTGAATTACCTCCTCAGCACGCAGTCAAGTTCTCCAGAGTCTTGCTAACGACCTAATTATTTGATTCAAGTGTGTTCAAGCGAAGGCACGTCTAAAAAAAAAAAAAAAATTGCAGGACAACGCCCCTCAAGGACTGGAGTTTGACACCTGTGATATGACGGAAGAGACGAAAGTATATCACAGAGTCGAAGTTGCTTGAGATGAAAGTTTCCACATCACCTGCTGATGTTGGTTCACTGCGTTTTATAAAGTTAGAAATCAATGGAAACTCAGAGATTTTAAGTTCAAGCGTTATGAAGATGCTAAATTCAACTTCACACTGCCAGAAGTAACCACACCTGGTTTATTGACCATCTTATCGATGTACTCGAGCGGCCATAACCGTCACTTGACCTGAACCCAACAGATTATCTATGGAGTATTGGCAAGAGGGAGATGAAAGACACCAGAGCAAGTAACTCAGATAAACGGTTTTAAAGAAACCGTTTATCTGTTTAACAGGCTGATCTGTTCATTTAAAAAAAAAAGGCAAGAGTGAATGTATACAGTGCTGTATATGTGCACACTGTTCAGTAGGCTGGCATTTCAAATGTAATTGGCTCTGGAGACCCAAAAAGTTGTAAAGTTTCCCTTTTTCAATTATTCTTTTAACGTATGTCTATTTATCTGCTGGTTCTCCGTCAGAAACTAAAGTGATCAATAGAAATATGAAGAGCAATGATAAAAGTAAAGTTATTTAAAAATAGATCAATGCTAAAAGCACATTTTTCATCTCCTAACTAATGGGATAGGGAATAGTCCTTCCTATACTTATCCAGACTTGGGAAATGATCAAAAGTAATTCCAGTGTTTCTCAGTGCTTCAAAGACTGCAGGAATCCTGAAACCCTAACCTGGATTGATAAGTAATCTGAACTAATTATCCAAAATACAGTTAATAGAAAGAAACTTTAAAATCCTCAACAATTTGGCTTTTATAACAATAGGTGCAAAATGTAAAGAATGCAGCAAAGAAAATTAGGTATGATAGTTTTCGGGACTCGAGAGGAAATCCTCCAGTCAACCTCTGCAGTGGAGCTTGTGAAAGAATAAATCAATAAAAAAAAAAAAATCAAAGACAGGGAAATGTTTTAGATATGTCGGAGAGAGGGGAGATGAAAGACACACTGTACATAATATATATACAACGTAGCTCCACAGTGGGGGCATCACTTACATTCTTGAAGCCGCGGTAAAGGATCTGGAGCTCCTTCCGGGAGAAGCGTGTCTGTGCCTCGAGCTGCTCCAGGCCCTCGGGGCGATGACGGACTGCAGAGAGTTCCAGCTCATCTTCAACGCTGTCTGAAAGGGAGAAGGAGCCAACGGTCAAACTAGACCAAACCCGCACTGGAATAAATCTGAAACCAGGAATGCAAATACGCCGCGCTCTGCAAAAATGATTAATGACCTCAAAAGTTTTACATTTTAACAACACAATCCAGTGTTTTCCATAGACCAACAAAAGGTGATGCGTACACGTGAATTGAACGGAAAATTTGTATTCAACCCCCACAAATAAAATTTAAGCTCAACCTAAAAGTCACCTACTTTGTTAACAGAGATCAAGTGTTTAATGTAATCTCTGTATGATTTCAGTTGTTCTGTGAAGGCCTCAGGTGTTTAAGAGAACATCGGTAAACAAACATCATGAAGATCAAGGGTCAGAATACATTTGTGATTAATTTTAAAGCACAGATGGGATATGAAAGGCCTATAAAATCCAGTTTGGTTAGATTAGAAATAGAAACATTTTAACTACATTAAAAAAAATGAAGGATAGAGGTGGCAGCATCATGCTGTGGGAATTATTTTCCTTAATAGAGTAGGGAAGTTGGTCCGAGCTGATGGGGAGATGAATACAGGTCAATCATGGAAGAAAATCTTTAATAGGCTGTTAGAGGCGTTAAGATGACCTAGTCAAAGTACAGATCTAAATCCACGTCACAATGTGATTCAACTTGATTTTGTTAAAATAAACCGGCATAAAAAGGTTTGTAGATGTTAGAAACTACCAAAATATCTGTAGCAACTCTTTTAGCAACATTTGACCACCAGGGGTTGAACGCAAATGAACAATTTAACAATTCTTATAGACAGCCATTTTCATCCCATTTCAAGAATGTGAAGTAGGTTGTAGAGGTACTAAAACCAATACAATTCAAGGCACTATAACTTTTCAGAACTACAATATTGAAGATGAACATTTAGCCACAAAATGCTGTACATCTGCTAAAACACCTTCTGGTCGTCTGTTGTACCTTATTATACCAGGTTTCTCTTCTAGGCTTTAATAAAAACCAAACAAAACACTCCTTTCTTCTCTAAAACAAATATGATATCAGAAGTAATTAGTGTAGTTGAGACCCCCAAACACAAGTCAGCGTGGCAGAGAGCCTCTGGATGAGAGTGCACAGTAATAAACCCCGAGGAATGCTTTAATGGGCTTATTATGATGGCAGACGCTGTCTGGGCACTGTCACTGCGCTGCAGCGTCCTCGCAGCGCTGCGCTCCACTCTCATACACCTGAAGTGTGACATCCTGTCTAAGTGCCTCATTAGCATCAAAGAGTTTTGCTGCACCCAACAATAAAAGGCCAAATATTCCAGCAGACCACATTTCACCTGTTGCTGTGGAGCAAACGTGGTGCTGTGACAGGTGATGTTTTCCCTAAACCTGGTCAAGATGAAAAGGAAAAAAAACAACAACAAAAAAAAAACAAACAGGTAGCACCTATGACATTTTGAAAATTCAAGCGTTATTTTTATGTCTGGAAATAAATCTGCAAACATTTCTCAGTGAATTGGTGAAAGGCAGATTACCAAAGCCTGAAGGCCACAAGGAGAAAGGCAAAAAAAGAAAAAGAAAAAGAAAAACCCTATAAAAATCATCATAGAGAGGAAGAGCCACTTGCTTTGATTGCAGGAGGATGGCTTTTTGCCTGTGGAGCACGGAAAGAGCCTCATGAGTCGAGCTCTCACCCCTCGCTTGTGGACAATCTCAGGGTAACCTGGGAAATACAGCATCATCTCTCGTGGTTACCCAGGCAACAGCCTCAGGTACATTTTGCTACAGGAAGCTGGGCATGCAGGAGATGAGGGGTGCATTAATGCTCAAGGAGACAAAATTGTCCTGTCTGGTTTTTCAGGACAACACCACAAGTATTGTGCACAGTATTAAGGTTACAGCTGGTGGCCTAAAGACAGGGCAGAAGACCAGCACTGACCAATAGATGATTTTAAATAAAACTGGTGACTGGTGGGTGTGTTAGTCTTACTACAGGCTAAGCTGCAAATTTAAGCTAGCAAGAGAGAGAGAGAGACTGTATTGGCTGCTGCAGCTTACTGTCAGTGTGACTCGTTAAACTTTAGATGAATTAAATTTATGAAGTACATCACATCAAGTTGTCCAGGAGTTGCTCCAGTTTCTCAAACGTCCAACATGTAAGATTTTCTTTTCCTGAAATTCTGATTTACTTTTACACAAAAAGCTAAAATTTTATTTTGTTATTCCACAAAATATTTTCCTAAAAGTCTCCAACATGTTTTTGGTCAAACTGAGACCTTGAAGGCTACAGTCTTTTTAAAATTTTATTTTTTCATTTATGGATAAGAGCTCGGTGGTTTTCTGGAGCCTCAAAGCTTTAGAAATGGCTTTTCCCCCCCTACTTTTCTAATCGGATAAATATAAAATGTTCCTCATCTGTTCTTGAACTTGTTTAGATCGGTACTTAAAGTGATTTTTGAGATCTTTTAGTCTACTTCGCTGTCATGATTTCTTGATTTCTTGATTGAGGTTTTGCTGTCACTGGGTTACATACTGGAATTCAAACTCAAGGATCACTGTGCAGAAGTTGTTCACATCTGGCAATTAGAACCAAGAGAAATTAGTACATAAATAATTAAAATACATAGCACTGAAATGTGTTCAACCTGAAATCGTACACCTCTGATGCTCGGCACCACGTTGTCAGTTTAAGTAACGTCTCTGTTTAAAAGTTAACACCACCATTTCCCCTCCTACCCCGAGCCATTCTTAACGATTTAGTGCGACTCTAATGGCACCTGTGGGTGCTCAGATAAGGCCTCCGGCACTTCAAACTATTTCTCAATCATTTGATGATTGGTGAAGACAAGGGTGGAGGGCACAGCGCGTTTGTGGCTAGTCAACATGACGCCAGGAGCGCTGATCGACCTCTGCAAACCTGAGCTATAAAGAGGTGTCGCAGAAACAATTACCTCACAGAGTAGAGGCAGTGAAAATTGTCTCATAAATCTGCAGTCTGGCCTGGCGACATCGTGGAGGTTTCAGGGAAAAGGGGAAAACTTGTCGGGAGAAAAATGACATGTAGAAAGGCGAAATAAATCAATCTAGACTTCATATGATTCCTTTGTCATTATGCTAAGTCGATTTGTAAAACCGCAAAGCCTGACTATCATATAAAAACATGACCAGACTGGCTTCTCATTCCAACACAGCCAGACTTTGCAGGTCCTGCTCAGCGCGTCAGCGGAGGAAAAGCAGAATCGGGACCGGCACAGTCTTCATAACGATGAACAGAACTGTTAAAAAACAAACTTCTCTACCTCGAAAGATAGTCGTTTCACTTCAGCTGAAGGTTGCTTCACAGCACAGTAAATAATAGCACAGCAACTCCAAAGCTTAGTGGATGAAACTCATAGGTTCCCGTTACCTCGTCGCCAGCTTTCCTTCCTAGCCTGATTGGAGAGGACACGTCTCAGTGCCTTCACCGAGACTGAACTGGACAGATGTTCATTTTATAACAGAGACATATTAGTCTTGACAGCTGGCTGGCTGTATTCAGAAGCATTAGGTTACTACAGAGGGACATCCGTTCAAATTTAGAGCTCAAGGACAATGTGGCAGGGTTGGAGATCAGGAGTGTCTGCAAAACAATGAGGCTAGAAGAAAAATGTTGCATAAAATGTTGCTTCTAAAAAACCCTAAAGTCAGGGCGGCTGATAAAAAGCCAAACCAATACCAGGGACACTGTGCTTTGTATATCAGTTTCATGACGAACTGAAAATTCAGCTGGTGATATGAACTGATCCTGACAGAATCCCCAAAAACCCAGCCTTTTTCAAAACATCATACTGACAGGTTGTTCAAAAACTACAACACTCTTCGGTGTACAACTTTCTACTGAGAGAGGATGACTCAAAGTTAGCCATTTTTAGTGTCACAAGTTAGACATCTGCAGCAGAAGAGAATAAGTGGTAGATCTGGAGTCTTCAACACCGAGTTTCCACCCAGGAGATGCTGTTGAGAGACAGGAAGACCCCTAAATTTATTACTCCGGTCTTACATGTCTCGTCACTTTTTACAATCCGTTTCTGTTTTAGTGGCCTTTATTACATTGGGGAACGTGGCCTCCGAAATGAGCAGAGGTTTATTTTGGATGTGTGCTCATTTCTGACTTTACAGAATTTCCAACTATTTTTTGGAAATTATATGAAATTAATCTCAAAACTTCTCAGTTTTTAGCAGGAAATATTTACCGTTTTTCTTCTTCTATCTACTTCCATCTTGCCATACCACTGGTAAGCGAGTTAAACAAAATATCAGAAAAACTAACGAAAATCACGTAATTACAAATGAAGCCTTTACTTGACTTTGAATTCAACTTTAGTCCAACATAACAATGGATTGAGAATTTGACAAATGCCTGGCCTTAAATGGATCAGGGCAAAATCTTAGACCAAGTAATCTCTGCTTCAAAGATGTATTTATTTTTGTTATAAAATGACAAATCTTAAACTGAACAAGATACTGAGGAGAAGTAATTTGAAAAACACTATGTTTAGCTCTAGCAGATACATCTGCATTTGCTAAAATCCTTATGATCAGGTTAGAGCATTGCAACAATCAGAAGTTGGAGTAGACCTACATCAATTTCATTGGTGCATCTCTAATAAGGACTGATGGGTGGAGAGAAATGAAGGCAAAGTTCAGTCACTCAGGAGTCGATGAAGGGAATCATGAGAGCAGATAAACAGTACTGGTCGTCTAAAATGTGTTTGTTTTACTGAGAAGCATCTGACAAAGTGTCTGCGCTAATGTAGAATCGCTGTACCCAGATGCTCTTTCCATTTCGATGCAAAATGGCACAGAAAGGTGTTGTCCTGAAGAATCCATGTTAAGGGTGAGCAGATTCTGCAAACTCTAAACATATTTTAATTATTTAGTTGTGAACCGCAAACAAATATCATCATGCTGTACTTTTGCCTTCCCTGAAAGGAAAAAACAAAACTGATCGTTGGACCTTTTTGAGTGGCGGCTCTTT